GCTTACTCCAGCTGCAGCCACTCTTGCCCGTGGCTGCTTCCTCCATCCTGGTATTTTTTGGAGCCTTCATCCTGGTTCTTCCAAAGTGCCCGGACCCAAAACAGGAAGTAAGTGCGATGGAACCTTCAGGTCCCAACAGCCGCCAGGGCCGCTCCGCCCAGTGGAGCCTGTCCGGCCCCCTAGCTGCCCGCCTGCTCCCGCCGGCCGGCGCAAGCTGCCGGCCCCCGGGCACCGCGGGCGGGGTAGGAGCTGGGCCTTCGTGACGCTGAAGCTGCCGTCCCCGCACGCTCAGGCCAGGGCCTCCCTCTCGGGGCCGGGCCTGTGGCGGTGGCTCGGGCTGCAGAGTAGGGTAACGAGCGGCCGCCGAGGCAGAGCAGCGATCCGGCGGGGGCGGAAAATGGCGGCGGCTTCGGAGGAGCTAAATGGCGCCGGGACCCCTGGGGGTGGGGAGGGAGCTTCGATAGAGAATTGGGCCCGGGAATGCGGAGAGTAAGGAAGCCTTGCTTGTTTCTGTGGCGTTGTCCTTTTTATTTTTTGTTGTTACCTTTTCGTTTTTAATTGTGGTGTTCAATGAAAAAGAGGTGGGTGTCGCTGACCCCAAACCCCTTGATTTTTATTTTATTTTTTTAACCTTGTTTGCGTCTTAAATTCTTCTCCCATCTTTTTGGATTCACTCACTCAGCTGTTCATGGCCCAGGCAGAGGGAATCGGGATTGCTGGCCGAACTGAGTGTCTTTTTTAAGAGGAGGGACATGGGCTGGGTGACGGGAAGACAGTCCTAACCGACCAGAGAACAGCAAAATGCGTCGGCAAATAGTAATTGTCAATTTTTGCCAAGTTCTGAGGAAGTTTTTACATTTTTTAATCTCATGTGTCCTTTAAAATAGACTTTGAGTATCTCTTCAGGGACGTAGAATGTTTTTAGCCCGGTCTCCGGTAGGTTTGAGAGAGGCGTCCAAGTGCCTTTCTGTGCTGTTGAATGATGATACGCCTTGTGTTTTTATGATAAACATATTCGGTAGATAAGGAGAGGGTGGTAATTCTATGACACTTAAGTCAGGACTCGCTTTCCCTTTCCGTGATTGAATTTGGACATGCAAATTCAATGTGTGTTTGTTTTCCTCCTTTCTGACAGTGGGCGAGGCTTCACGTCGGGACGTCCGACCAAGTGTCAGTTCTGTAGGATTACTTTCTAATCAGTGTTTTAAGCGTAAAATAATACTATTTGTAATTTTAAAAAATATTTTGCTAATAATTATACCTTTAATTCTTGAGAGACAGTTAACCTCTTACAGCTTTTAAGCTCCAGTCCAAGTAAGAAAATATTCTTCTATTGCTTTGAAAGTTTTACAAACAAAATCTATTTTTCAGTTAAGGATTTTCAGTTAATTTTTCAGTTAAGGGTTTTCATATTTTTTCATTACTTGAGATTCTTTCTTTGAGCTGGTTTTAAGTATGTGTTTCAAACAACTTTGTATACTGTTATTTTTTAGTAATTTGAGTAATTTACCACCACTGTAATAGTTAAAGACTCTGGTGATAATACCCCAAAATCTTAGCTTTTTACTGTGAGGGTGTAGTAGTGATGAGATTTTATTATATTAGGTTAAGATTTGGAAATTTAGTTAAGATTTAGGAAAAAATTAAAGTTACATTTCTTAACATTACAAAAATGGTCAGATTGAATTTTTTTAAAAGTTAGGCTGTCTGATGTGGGATTAAACATTTTCGTTTATTCACAAGGGACAAAAAAACAGCTTGATCTTTGTGAAAAAGACATTGTTACAGTTTTGGAGGAAAGTACATTTCATGTTTTGTGATGATTTTATCTCATTTTAATTCCCATATACTAAATTCTTTTATTTACCACCAAACAAAACTAATTTTTTTTTACTATTTTAGTTGATAGGCTCACCCCAAAATGTGATTTTTTGGGGACCGATCTAGACCTGCATATTCAGTATGAATCTCTTTAAATTGATTGCAGTTGAGCTAGATGGTGGAGCCAAAATGCTATTGCCCTGTCTTCATCAACAGTTAATCAGTAAGTACTGGGCATTGCATATTTAGAACTTTAAAGTCCATACTTTGAGCAATTATATGAATAAATATATTCTATATAAACCTTTTTTCTCTAGGTGTTCAGGTTTCAGAAGTATTTTGAGGGGAAGCAATCAAAGTTAGGATTTAAGCTTTGGAAGGAGAGCATGGCTAGGAAATGGTTACTGGTAGAGAATTATCAAAATAAGATAGGTGTCCACTTTAGTTGGGGTTTTTTTAAATTGTGTGGGGTTTTTTTGAGATGGAGAAAGGTTACCTCATTTCGCTTCAAGGCAGCAGGCGAGAGAACTTATATTTGTAAGGTTAGTTAAATGTTACTAGTTAGTATTGAAATAGGAACAGCAAAACTAGTCCTTACCTTCCCCACATAATGCCTATCTTTCTGCTCACTTCAATTATCTCTTCAAGGTCTACAGACCCTAATTTTTATTAATGTTGTAATAAATTTGTCCTGAAAGTAACATCTTGTTATTTTGAACAGTGGCTTTTGTCATCCTCCTTTAACATTGGCTTAAGTTAACACTTGTGAAGATGAATAAGACAGTGTGAAACAAGTGTCCTTAGTGATTCACAGCCTGGCACATAAATGTTAAAATATTGAGGGATTGGGGAAGTGTTTTGAAAGTATATGTTGCAAAGACATCAGACCTTTAGAACAGCAATAAAGCTTAGGAAGAGTTCTACTTTTAAAGTGCTGTATAGAGGGCTGCCTATTTAACGTTGAGGGATGTTAGCCTGCCTTCTCAAAATTGAGTTTTCTTTTAATATTCAGTTTTCTCATCATTATCACTTTTGGCACTTTATTTTCCCATAAAAGATTCCCTAGTTATTCTGAATGCTTTTCAATTTTAGCTCCAAAACTTTTTCTATCCCCAAATGATATGAAATGACCTGAGAAAGTGATGAATCTATTGCTAAGTATGTTAAATATAAAATACAGATAGTTATTAAATGTATGTGGCATTTGTTTGTGGCATAGAACCCTTTTTTCATGTTTTTTCCTTTTGTGAAGAGAATTCTTGTAATAGAAATCACAAATAGGTTTTGTTTTTGCTTTGATTCCATAAAGGTAAAAAATAAGCTTAAATGAAAAAGAACTTGTTTATCAAGTCTGCTTTTTTTAAAGTTTGTGGGTAGATATCCCATTCTGTGACTGGATACATGAAAGGATAAGTTGTCAGGAAAAAATACACTGAAGTGCCCTTTATGAAGGTTTTGTTGTTTGTTTGTTTAAAATGTTATCCCCCCCCCCTTTTTTTTTCCTGTTATTTTGGTTATGTACATTGTGTTGTCTGGCCATTCTTCCAAGCACCAGGTTGTCAGTGGTAATCTTTATTTATCATCAGGTGTTATATAACAACAACAAAATGCTCGTTACATTTATGTACTGCCTATATGAGTATTTGAAATGTCTGTTGACGAAATGCACATTGCATGTAAATCAGGACTATAGTGATAATTTGATGTATTTCCTTTAAAGATCTTCTGATGATGCTTTGCATAAAGTGCTCAGTTTAAATGGATGAAAGCTTAAAATGTAGCCAAGTACACATTATAAGCTCTTAAATTATGCACGGGTAAAAAATAATATTTGGGGGGGGGTTGTTGTTAATCCTCACCTGAGGATATTTTTTACATTGACTTTTAGAGATAGTGGAAGGGAGGGAAATGGGGGCGGGGAGAGAGAGAAAGAAGGAGAAACATCGACATGAGGTGGATTGGTTACCTCCTGCACCCACCCCAGCTGGGGCCAGGAATCAAACCTATGACCCTTCCCTGAGCAAGGCAATGCTCTAACCACTGAGCATCATCTGCCAGGACAATATTTTTGGTTTTTAATGAGCAGTATGATTTTATTGCCAAACCAGATGCAAAATGCTGCACCTTGTAATACTACCAGGTAATTCTCCTTAAAATGTTGTTTTCAATAATTGAAATTGACATCTTAAGCAATTAAAGTTTATTATATTAAACTCCATTAACATCTTTATTGACTTTCTGTGGTGTACAGTCATATTTTACCATCTTAAAACCAATCCATAATGAGCATTAATTAGGTACCTTAATTGAATATGCTTTATGTTCATTTATAGCTCTGCTTCTCAAACTTCCACAAAGTATACAGAAGAGCAAAACCCCTGGGGCCTGGGACCATAGTCCAAAGCATCCAACTTCAAGTATGACATTTCTCCATTCCTATCTTGAATAAAATTAGTAGTCAAGATTTATTTTGTGCCTTTGTCTGTTTTTTTGACATCCTTCTCTGTAACCCATGTTCAGGATGTAGGAATTTGTCGTCTGTTCTCTTTCACTAAGACTTTCTGTTTAGTGAAGAGTTGTATTCTTTCAGAATAAAAATGTCTTAAAACACATCTTTTATTTATTATACATTACTAAGGAAATCCCCATATAAACATTTCCTAAGGAATTAGTTATATGCATTGATAGGTATGGTGATGGTCAATATGGAGTCTGTATAAAACAAAAATGTTCAGTAATAGGTTAATGGTTAAGTAAATTTAGATACTATGTATCCATTAAAAATGCTGTGGAAGAGTAAGTAATATTGGAAATCATTATTGTAAAAAACATTTTTAAGTAGACGTGTTAATACATGAGTAAGAGACTTGGGCAATCACAAAAAAGTTAACAGAGGAGAGGAATAAGTAATTTTCTGATAATATATTGGGTCAGGAAAAATGACATCTGAAAACTAAATGTGTCCTTACTGTCTTATTAGTTGAACTATGACAGAAACTTTGCCTCTTAGTGGTTCTCAATTCTTAAACCATCCAATAAAATTCTGGTGCTATATGTTCTGTAGCTTGCTTGATTTCTGCTTATAAAACTACCTTATAATAAGGAATGTTTTTCACACCATGTAGTCTCATCCCATCTTTCAGTGTTGAATCAATTCCAAGCACCTAGTGTTAGCAGAAGTTCCTGTGCTTCATGATCTTCTCTAATAGAATTTACCCTTACTCTAGTACTTTTCTTGGGAACTGATACAAATTTATCTGCAGAATTAGTTCCAAAACTAGGAAGAAATGTCACTTTTGGTTTTAGTTTTTAGAAGATACGTATTTGTCAACTGCCTAGAAAATCAAAACAATTAATGTAGGTGGAGATACAGTCTAAAATAATACATTGAATAAAAGCTTTACATGAATACTGGAATGGAATAGGATGAAGTATTCATTTCTTTACCTAAATTCTGTGTTAAATAACATATCCAAGAGTTCTTTTTGTTCTACATTAAATAATGTCTTGCTCATTGGGCACTATAAATAAAAATTATATTTCTCAATATGTACTCCACTGTAAATGTTTTGTACTGTATTAGGGTATTTTTTTGGTTTGTTTAATATAGCCACCAACTGATGGAAACATGGCCAAAGTACCATTTCACTGGTTAAAATGGCTGTTAAATTTTTTTCTCTTTTATTTCTAGTTAGTGTAAAAATAGTACATCTGGTATAACTGTAACTCATTACAGAGAAAGGAAGATATAAATGGGTTGATGCTATGTACTTATTTGCCCCAAAGAGGACCAAAAAATCGATCATAGAATCGGAGACCTTCCTGACATACTTCCCTGATAAATCAAATGGGGAACCGGTCCAGAAGTTAAGCATAGTTTTATGTATACAAGCTATTAAAGTACTCAACTTTGTACCTTATTGTCTAAGTCAGTTTATTCACCAACATCTCAGTCACTCCAGTCATATCAGAATACAGATATGCTCTTAGAAATAACATCTGTCTAGACCCTCCAGTAGCTAGTATTCTCTCTTTGTACTTGAAAGCTAAACCTTATAGAAGACCTGTTTGTATTGTCTTCCCTATTTCCAATTTCTTTGTATTACAATAGGGCTGCCCCCACTACCCTGAAACTACCTACGCTAAGGTCAACAATGTTCTCCATATTGCCAGATCAGATAGTCACCTCTCTCATCCTCTCAGCAGTCCTATTTAGCATAGTTCACTACTTGATGCTCCTTGAAAAACACTCTTGCGCATCACCTGCTAGGTTTGTTTTGTTTTGTTTTGTTTTTAAAGAATTGTATTGATTTTTAGAGAGAGGAGAGGAGAGGGAGAGAAAGAAACAATGTGTGAGAGCGGCTGCCTCCTGCACACCCCCCAGCAGAGATTGAGCTGCAACGGGCATGTGCCCTGACTGGGAATGGAACCGGCAGCCTTTTGATGCATGGGAAGATGTCCACCTGAGCCACATCAGCCAGGGCATCACACCTATTAGTTTTCAGCCTGTACTACTCATTGGTCCTTTTCAGTCTCCTTTGCTTGTTTATCATTTGACTTACAACTGTTAGAAAGCGCTCCAGAACTGGAATCTAGGCTGTCCTCCCTAACCTCTCTAGGTCATCTTATCTTTAAAAACAATTTGGATGTCACTAACATTTATAGATCTAATTCATGCCTGTTGAATTCCAGCTCCCAGCTATCAACTTGACATCTTCATTTGGATGCCTTGTATCTTTAATTAATACTAGTTAGTAATAAAAACATTTAATGAAATATATTCTTAGTGCCCCAAAACTCACTCAGCTGTTTAAGCCAAAAGCCTAAGAATCACCATGAGATAGCTTCTCTTCCCTTTATCTTCATTCAGCTAATTCTGTCAACACCGCCTCCAAATTATATCTTCTATCCAGCCTCCTTTCTTATTTCTGCCAAATCATGTCCCACCTTAGGGACTTCGCTATTATCAGTGTCACATACTTACAGTGTTGTCTCTTCATCTTGCTGTTGAGGCAATGTAGCATCTGTGCATTATCTCAATTTATTTTGTGCATCCGTTAGCAAGATGTGTCCTAAGGTGTTAGAAAAGCCCAATAGCTGGTTAGGCTGTTAATGCTTAGCGTAAAACTGGACGTAATTAAGCATACAAGCATACCTTGGAAGTATTACAGGTTCAGTTCCAGGGCACTGCAGTAAAACAAGTCACACATTTTATTTTCCCCGTGCATATAAAAGTTATGTTTACATAAAGTGTGCAATAGCATTATGTCTAAGAAAATGTGCACACCATAAAATACTTTATTCCTAAAAGGTGCTAACTATCATCTGAGCCTTCAAGTCATAATCTTTTGGCTGGTGAAGGGTCTTATGTTGATGGCTGCTAACTGATCAGGATGGTGGTTGCTGAAGGTTGGGCTGGTTGTGGCAATTTCTTAAGACAGCAGTGGAATTTGCCACATCGATTAACTTCCTTTCTTGAACAATTTCTCTGTAACATGTGATGCTATTTGATAACAGTTTACCCTCAGTAGAACTTTCATAATTGGAGTCAGTCCTCTCCTACTCTGCCACTACTGCTTTATTAACTAAGTTTATGTGATATTCTGAATCCTTTGTTGTCATTTCAATACTCTTTACAGCATCTTCACCGGTAGATTCCGTCTCAGAAAACCACTTACTTAGTTCATACATAAGAAGCAACTTCTCATCCATTCAAGTTTTATCATGAGATTGCAGCAATTCATTCACATCTTTAGGCTCTACTTCTAATCCTAGATCTAGTGCCATTTCTCCCACATTGACTGTTATTTCCTCCACTGAAGAAGTTCTAGTTTACATTCAATATTATTTTGTATTAATTTGTGGTGTACAGCATAGTGGTTAGACAACCATATACTTTACAAAGTGATCCCCCCGATATTTCAAGTACCCACCTGGCACCATATATAATTATTACAATATTGTTACCATATTCTCTCTATGCTGTATTTTATGTCCTCCTGACTATTTTGTAACAACTAATCTGTACTAAATCCCTTCACCTTTTTCACCCAACCCCCCTCCCCTCTGTTCTCTGTTTCTTTTTGTTTGTTGATTTATATTATTGTTCTTTAGATTCCACATATAAGTAAAATCATACTCTATTTGTCTTTGTGTTTGGCTTAATTTAGCATAATACCCTCTAGGTCTGTCCATGCTTTCGCATAAGTAATATTTCATTCTTTTTAATTGCTGAGTAATATTCCATTGTGTGTGTGTGTGTGTGTGTGTACCACATCTTCTTTATCCACTTGTCTATTGAAAGCAACTCGGGTTGCTTCCATAGCTTGGCTATTGTAAATAATCCTACAATTAACATAGGGATACATATATTCTTTCGAATTAGTGTTCTGGTACATATATTCTTTCAAACTACTGTTTTGGGTTTCTTCAGATATATACCCAGAAATGGAATCCCTAGGTCATAAGGAAGTTCCATTTTTTGAGGAACCTCCATACTGTTTTCCACAAACAATCTGCATTCCCACCAACAGTGCATGAGGGTTCCTTTTTCTCAATATCCTCACCAACATTTGTACATTATTGATAAGTTTATAGATGATTTTAGCTTTTTTAACATTTTATTTTTCCATCATCTGCAGTAAGTATTACAAACCAACTTTTTAAAAAATTGAATGGATTCAGAAGTAAGAACAGTGTGAAATATAATAATTGTCTGAAGGTTTCTCTGGCAGGATCTGTACCTTTTTCACTGCTGACTGACTTATGTATAGCAGTTCTCAAATACAACCATCCTTGAGAGGAGTTCTTATTAGAATACTGCAAAAATTGGAATTTTAATCCTTAGTTTTTGCTGAAATATCCCCCTTGAACCTCAAATCCTACTGTTTTTTAACTTTTGGTTGGCCCTTTGGGATGAAGATGAGAAACCTATTGAAAGAAATCTTTAGAGACCAGCTACTTCACTAACTTCTCTGCTAGCCATCTGCCCCGTAGCTCCTGTTGCTCAGGTCCAAAGAACTATATTACAGGCTCTGNCTCTGCTAGCCATCTGCCCCGTAGCTCCTGTTGCTCAGGTCCAAAGAACTGTATATTACAGGCTCTANTAGCCATCTGCCCCGTAGCTCCTGTTGCTCAGGTCCAAAGAACTATATTACAGGCTCTGTGACATGGCGATGCTGGCTGAGTGTCAGCAGAAGCAGAAGTGGGCTGTGGATCCAAGAAAGACCATGTGGAGTAATGATTCTGTTTGGCCAGAGAATGCGGAGAAGATGGTGTGGTCTGAAGAAAAGGTTTAGGGGCTCGAGCAAGGAGCCACAGATCATATTAAAGTTCAAGTTAAAAATAACCACCTGGGACTTGGAGCTACGATCAATAATGAAGACAACTAGATTGCTCATCAGGATGGTTTTAACCAGCTTCTGTCTGAAGTGAACACTTGCCATGTACTGGAAACAGCAGACAATTTCTCAGACAACAAGGAAGAAAAATCTTTCAGCCTTGAAGAAAAGTAAAAAATATCCAAAAACCGGCCAGGCGTGGCTCAGTGGTTGAGCGTTGATCCAGGATCCAGGTGGTCGGGGTTCGATTCCTGGGCAGGGCACATGCCTGGGTTGCGGGCTCGATCCCCAGTCGGGTGTGCGGGAGGCAGCCGATCCATGACTCTCTCATCATTGATGTTTCTATCTCTCCCTCTCCTTGCCTCTCTATGAAATCAATAAAGATATATTAAAAAATATATATCCAAAAACTGTTTATTATAAGAAATTCACAAAAGGGAAAGATCTATCATCTTGGAGCAAAACAGATCTTGACTGCATTTTTGGGAAAAGACACAGTAATGAGATTCCTGAGGATGATTCCAGTCCCGCTACTCCAGATGGGAATGAAACCTCCACTATGACAAGTGCCTCCACAATCCATGAGTACTCTGCCAAGCAGATGGCAGAACTAAAGAACAGGCAGGGCCTGATCTTCCAGAGACCCGAACGGAAAGGAAAGGGGCAAAAGATAAAAATGTAGAGAATTATACCGAACACAAGACCCAAGAAAATGAGAGACTAACTTGAGCAGCAGCTCAGAGACCCTCATTGGGATGAGAATTCTGATGCTTCTGCTGAGGATCGAGAGTATTGAGTGTTGCTACTTGATGACCTGTACTTACCAACAAAGCCCAAAGAAGAAAAATCTACAAAAAGCAGGTTGAGGCAGCAGTGGATGCCACAGTAGATAAAACACCAGTGAAAAAGAGGAAAGGTTCCAAATACTCTCGAGCCAGGGCCTTCCAACCACTCAGGTGTTAGGGTGCTGCCTAACACTTTGGCCTGATGTCAGAGCAGAGTTCACCCCAGAGAATCTGTGCACATCTTTTTACATACCCAGAGATTGCTGAGTCTCACCCTCTTACCACATTTTTTCCAAATCATTCCCAGAAGAACTTTAATGTTCCAAATCATAGCTTTCATAAACAAATTTCTTTGTAGACTCTGAAAAAAACCACAAAACAATCATTTCATGTTTTTAAGTTTCATATCACATTCAAAAGCTTGCTTGTAATTTACCTTTTCTAGCCTGATTATTTAGGATTTTTCCACCCCACATATTTCTAGGCCAGGTTGTTCCCAGATACATGTTTTTAATACTTTAAAGTTGAAATGTGGTATTATGTAAAGAATGGTGATAATTATTATTTTTTATAAGTTTATTTGAGCAAACTTATGACATACACTGGGAACAAGATCTCAAATGCTCCCTGGTATTAATTATTATAAAGAAAAGATACTGGTAATATTTATGGCACTGTATTGGTTGAGGTACACCCTTGGTCATGTTATATGTACCTAGGTCTATAGTTCATAGAACCACTAGCATAGTTCAACCTTTTTCCAAGAATGTTTGCCTGCCTGATGAGGGACAACTTTGAGAAACTGCCTTTGAATTAACTCCATGGCATTAGGATCTTACCATTTCTGCCCTTCACTGGGAATACTTTTAGAGGCTGATTTCCTGAAGGTCTACCTAAGAATTCTGGTTTTGTCATTTTTCTAGTTGACACAGCACAGAGACTAGAGTGTCATCAGCATACTGCTAGCACACAAGTGTTTTTACAAGCCTTATTGTGTAATGCTGTTACTTTTTCAGTGTTGCAGCAGTAGGAACATGGAAGAGAAACAATCTGGATAACATGAAAGTGATGCTGGTGGCTAAGGGAAGGCGACTTGATTCTGTGGGAAGGGATATAGCTGATCCATCTGTTTTCTAGGTAAGTCTACCTTTGTTCCAAGGACCTCATCTCATGATTTGCAGATTTTAATCCATAACTAGATCATGATTCCCACTTATCTTTAATTTGGGAATGGCATCTTTACCATTGTAAATGAATGATGTCCTTTTAAAACAGTAATTTGTATAATAAAATTTTAGTTAATCACTGGATCTTCACCAGGTAAATGTTAGTAGATTCTAAGTTTTTCTGCTTGGGGAGAATGCATTTGTGTAAATGGTAAATACTGTATGTGAACACACTAATACTTGTGTATAAGAGCTAAATAAATAATGAATAATTTAATACACATCAAGGCTTATGTCCTCTTTGTCATGGTAACTGATAAAAGGTATGTGAACGAGACCAAAATTGAGTATTGAGGGAAGAATTTCATTGAACATTGTAAGATAAGCCTGAAAATATCAACCAGGCCATTGATTATAATTCAATAAATTTCCCCCATCAACCATGAATAAATAGTATGTTATAAGATTCATCATGCAATCTGTCTGAACAAAAGGAAAATATTATATGTGTAAAATAGCAGTTTAAACAATAACAGTTCTCTATTTCAGAAGAAGGCCTAGCTCCATTTCTATTAGAAAAGCAATTTGATTAATGATGGATGTGTGCACTTGTTTAATATTAATGAAAAAACTATAAGAGCTATTTAGTGTCAGATAATAACAGAGCTGAAGTACTTGTCGGATAATAACAGAGCTTAAATACTTGTAAAAGTTGTTTCAAAGAAATAATGCTTCGATTAAGATAAAGCTTTGATGACTCTTCTACTAAATCAGAAGTTAGACACATTTAAGTAGGCTGCCAGGCCTTGCTCAGCTCTCCAAGAAAGGCTCAGGCTAAGCTGCCATTAAAAAGTAACTAAATCCCTAGCCAGTTTTGCTCAGTGTAGAGCATCAGCCCTCAGACGGAAAGGTCCTGAGTTCAATTGTGACCAAGGTCACGTGACGTATCTCGGTTGCAGGCTTGATTTCCTGGCCCTGATCAGGGCCCATGTGGGAGACAATCAATCAATGTGTCTCTCTCACATAGGTATTTCTCTCTGTCTCCCTTACACTCTTTCTGAAAAGCAATGAAAAAAATACCTTCTGGTGAGGATTTAAAAAATAAATAAATAAAATAAAAATAACTAAAAAGTGGTGAGACTTTTGCTGACATGACAACTTTCATTGCATGTGGTAACATCTCTTTAAAAAGTAAATGCTGTAGGTTTTTAGTTACTCATAGCAGTCAATTCTTAATAGATTATTATATCTACTTTTATTTATTTTAATTAATTTTTTTTAAAAGAGGGGGGAAGGGAGAGAGAAAAAAAAAATCTGTATGAAAGTGAAACATTGGCTACTTCCTGCATGCCCCCTACTGGGAATCGAGCCTGCATCCTGGGCATGTGTCCTGATTGGGAATTGAACCAGCAACCTTTCAGTGCACGGGGACAACGCCCAACCAACTGAGCCACACTGGCCAGGGCTATATCTAATTCTAAATAATGGATATAAACTTTTGAAAAACAGTCTTTGAAATCTGAACTGTCATTGCAATTTCACATAAAGAACACTTAGAAATTGTGAGGTTTTGCCGGGGGAGGTGGGGGAAATTAGAGCGCTACTTTACGTCCGTATTTGGAAATAATTTTTTAAATCCTAATCTGAAATCTATCCTTGTATAGATTTGAGTATGAGCACAGTTGAAGAGGATTCTGACACAGTAACAGTAGAAACTGTGAACTCTGTAACTTTGACTCGGGACACAGACGGGAACCTTATTCTTCATTGCCCTCAGAATGGTAGGAGAACTTGCAGGCATAATTGTGAATCTTTTTTGATTTTTCAATTTTATGTCACCTTTGATCTCTTATCCATCTGGACAGTTTAGGCTATGACAGTAGAAAAGGAGGTTATTCCTTTGGATCATGAATTAATCTTAATTTGTATGTATATTTTTAAACTATACTTTGGTATATTTTTTAACTTACCATAAATTTTAACTTTTATGAGTAGCTGTTTTATTAGTAAAATCTGTTGAGCCTCCTAAAATGATAATGGATTAACTATACATAGTACACTTCCTCTCCAGAGTATTTCTACTACATATTAGAAAATGTAGATGTAGCCGTGCCAATATGAATATATGAACATTTTTGCTGGAACCTGTGTTAGAGAATTTTATGTGACTATCTGAATAAGATTCAATATGATCATACGTAATGAATTGAGATTCAGCAGGCTTGGGGCTTGTGATTTTATTTCTCTACCTATTACTTATTTATAATTTATTTATTTTGCTTGAAGTCTGTCTTTGCTCAATCTAGGTTTTGTCTTCTTGTCATCCATACTTAATCCCTAGGTTATTTCATTCAAATTTGTGGTTTTAACTACCACCTACATATTAAAATGATTCATACTTCTGTCTTTATTCTGAATTCTCTGTTTCTCAGAGCACCTTTAATGTCACATGTTCCAAATTGAATTATTTCACAAAATTCCCAAACCTAGTTCTCCTTTCCTTTCTCACTCAATTTCATTACTTTTAGTATCTTAGATCATAAATACAGGTAGGCATAATCCTTCTCTCATTTCCCACATTCATTCCATCATGAAGATTTGTTGATAGAATTATGTTTCTTGAATCAGTTTCTTCCTCTCTTCCTCAGGTTCCCCTTTCTTAGTTCAGTTTCTCACCTGGGTAGCTCTAATAGCCTTTTAATCAGTCTCCCACCTCTCATTCATCTTTCAAACTGTGAAGATGTTGGTCATTATACTCAACAGTGTAAGAAGGTTTTTAAAGCTTTCCATAGTTTTTAGAACATAAATCAGGTTGTTTAATTTGGCACATAGCCTCCCATCATCACAGCTTTCCTTCCAGCCTCACTTATGCCACATTTCACATATCGATGTTCCAGCAGTTCATGACTGTTTTTATATTCCTAACATAACTTAAACTTTTCATACATCAGTGTCAGTGCACGTATTACTCCTGCTGCCAGTAAAATCCTTTTTCCCTGGCTATGTTCAAGTCAAACACATCTCCAGGAAAGCTCCCTTTGCCTCCATTCTAAATTAAATGCCTCTCCTCCCTGTTCATATAACAGCCTCTTCATTCCACCTTCATAGTTCTTATTACACTATTTTGAAACTGTTAGTTTAATCTCCTCCTCCACGACACTGTGAACTCCTTGACAGAGTGTCTTATTGTTCTTTTGCCAGCACTTAGCACATAGTAGGCACTCAGTAAATATTTGTGAGTGAATTAAATAACAAGCCCTTGTCTTTACATGGAAAGCCAGATAGTTGACAGCATAAAAGTGTGATGTTCAAAAAATGTCATCTTTATCATTGTTTCTTGTCATAAGAATAGGAGCTGAGGTACTGCACTAGACATAGAGGAGACAATATTGTTTGGAATCCCACATGTAAAGCTGGGTTTAGTTAACTGAGCAAATCACTAAGACAATTGTTTTATAGTCATTACTTGAAGATTTTATGTTTTCCTCATTGTTTTGAACATTTTGAGATTTTTTTGTTTTTGTTTTTTTCATCAGAAGCTGATGAAATAGACTCAGAAGATAGTACTGAACCTCCACATAAAAGGCTTTGTCTGTCTTCTGAGGATGATCAGAGTATTGATGATTCTACTCCTTGCATATCAGTTGTTGCACTTCCACGTAAGTCACTGTGTATTAAGAACAGTTTCCTTTTAAAATCAAATTTTAGCTTGCAAGAGATTTAGTTGACATTTGAAGGTAGACTTAAACCCATTATTTTTCTCTTCATTTCATCAAAAAACCTCTTTTTAATTAACACGTAGTGAGTGACTTATATATGTGCCAGGAGTGGTATTAAATGCTTTTACATATATTGTCTAATTTAATCTTCGCAACCTTTTTTTATTGTCCCTTTACCCCCACCCCTACCCGGGAGCCTTTTCAAACTTTTTTTTTTTCCCTGATCAAGCTCTCCCCCAAGTATACCCAATACCATGGGTATGCTTTTTCTAATGTACCATCTGTATGTTCTTGCTTTGTTAATAAAGAGAATAAGATTTTTTCACACACACCCCATAAGAAGCACATTCACCCTCATTGAGAAAGCATGCTCTAGAGTAAAGATTATTATTTTCTCTATAAATGATAAAACTAAGGCACAGAGAGGTATAACAACTTGTCAAAGGTCATACCCAGCCATGCTGGTTCTTGTAATTCATTCTCTTAATCTCAGTACTGTACTTCATATGGTAAATAGCTAAATGGAAGTTATGTAAGAGTCTTAATTAGTTTTTCTCACTAAGAAAGTTTTTAACATGTTTATATTTCAAGATCATTTAGAGTAGACTGGATTCTAAGAAGGTGTAGTATTTCAGGTACTGTTGGCAAAAGACTACAACGCAACAACTGTAACATTAGATTATATTTCTGATTTGTTTAGCAACAGATATGAAATCTTGAACTGTGGTGTCCCCACAAAGCTGGAGTAGATGTGTTAGTCCAGGGGTAGGGAACCTTTTTTCTGCCACGGAGCATTTGAATATAACATCATTCGAGGGCCGTAGAAAATTATCAGCTTAAAAATTAGCCTGCTATATTTGGTCAAACACTTCATTAACTCATCCCTAATGTGATGGCTGAAACTACTTCTCTTTGGTAAGGCCTTGGCAGGGTCAGACCAAATGATTTCAACAGTCACGGGCCGCACGTCCCCACCCCTGTTTTATCCAGGGCAATGGTGTTGGGATACAAGGCTCTAGATGGCACACTCTGCATAAAGGAGAGTCTTGCCATATCTGAGAACTTTCATTTTGCCCTCAGTGTCAAGCAAAATCACATCATCCAGTGGAAAAAACTGAGACTAGGTTTTCATTTTGGAAAATCATGTTTTCACAAATAGATATGTCTCTGTATTTAGAGTTTAATTGCTTATTAACAGGAAAAAAAACCCTTTAATATCAATTTACTATAAGACTTTATTGAAAGGCAGTGTTAATGTCTATATTGCTAATATTGCTTCCAATTGTGACTATACAAACATAATCTATTTATAATTAAATTATGTGATCTAATTAAATTTTATCTTTCCCCCTAATGATGATTCATATGATTTTTTAAACTCTTTTCTAATTTGACTATCATTATGTGTGATTCAGTTTTAAAATTTGATTGGCCTGTCTGTACAGATGCAATCCTATATAGGCATTTTGTAAGCTAAAATTANTTGGCCTGTCTGTACAGATGCAATCCTATATAGGCTTTTTATTCAGCTATAATTGCTATGTAAATTTATATTAGTTACAAGTGTACAACATAATGATTCAGTAAATTTATATATTGTGAAAAGATCACCACAATAAATCTAGTTAACATCCACCACCACACGTAGTTATGAAATTTTTTTATTATGAGCACTGTTAACAATTTTTAAATATGCAGTACAATATTATTAACTATAGTCACCATACTGTACATTACATCCCCAGGACTTATTTGTTTTATTAAGCCAGAATTTTTGAGTGATTATTTTGACTGGTCAATTCATTTGGTTAAAGTAGAGTGGCTTGATCATGATTGTAGGTTCAAACTATACTTGATATTTTGTTCTATTTCATGATGTTAGTCTGAATTCATCACACCCTTATTCACATAACTGGCTAAGATAATATGGATGTGTTACAAAAATACGTGAGCTGTTTGATGTTGGATCATCGCATATCATATATGGAAGGCATTTTAGAGGCTAATATTTACAATAAGACTGAATTCATGAAAAGCAAACCTGAAGTATTTACATATTCCCTGTATTTGTAAAAAGTATGGTGATAAAATTAACTTGGGAAAGTTTCTACATTAAAAAAAAGTCACTTTAAAGCATGCAGTCCTATATTCATCATTGTCATCTAGGACTGATTGAATGGGCAAGTCATTTGTTGGATTTAGTAGAGGCGAATATTAATTTAAGCTTTACATGCTTTATAAAACTGATAAAATGTATCTGTCTGAGTCCTCCTTACTTTGTGGTAATCCATCTAGGTCACTTACTGACCACTTGTTTTTGCAGTCATCTACCACCACATTCACTCCGTTCCCTATTCATAGTTAGAACTCTGATTGTTGCAGTACCTTAACCTCCTATTCCTTTTGGTTTTCACACTGCTTCACTGCCATTACCACTTTTGTAATTACCTATTAACTGGGATCCATTTGTTTTCTATTTCAGATTTTGTTTTCCTACCACTACTTCCTATGTTTTCAGCTTACTTCCACTAAGACTCTTAAACTCCTGTGATCTTTTGCGCCACTGGCACCCATTGATCTTACCACTTTTTCTTTGCTCTTGTATCCTGTCATCCACTTTGTATCCTGTCTCCTCCTTACCCAGTTTCAGTTTCATGGTTAATCATTGTAATCACTGTCTTGAATTATCATCAAGTTCTTTTTTCCTTCCCTCACTTTGGTCTTTGGCGAAACCACAACCTTTGTTAAATCTACCTGCCTGTTTATGGGAGAAAAACAGCACAAGCAAACTGACTGGTCTCATGTTAAATTGATGGTCATCAGCTTGAAGTGGCTCTGATGTTGCCTGACAGTTACACCATACATACTTCACCGTGCTTTTCTTCCTCCCACTCTGAGATACTGTTCTGTACATCCTGGAACCTCTTAATACTGCCTCCATCCTTTTTACTCTCAACTGATTGTCTTGCTTCCTACTTTACCGAGAACATTGAAGTAGCCATACAATAATTTCTACAAGTTTTCACTACCACAAATACACACCGACATCTATGTCCATATATTCTGTCTTTTCTCCTGGCTAAGGCCAACCAGCTCTTCGATTTATTAGATCCTATCCCTTTGCCTATTCATAGACATTGTTGCAGCAATCCTTTCTTTTCTCTTCTGAATCATCAGTTTTTCCTTCTCTTCTGGATTGTTCCCATTAGCATTATAAACACACTGTGATTTCTTCTTTAAAATAAAAAGTCCCATTTGCCCACTTTTGGCTCCCATCCAGTTTCTCTCCTTCCCTTAAGAGCAAAGTACCTTGAAAGACTTGCCTCCATTTCTTCCTCTGCTCTTCCTTAAACCCACTCCAGTCAGGCTTTCACCTTTATCACTTCACCAAACTATTCTTCCCTGGTCTCCACACACCTTCTTTTACTAAATCCAATGGCGATTTTTTTTTTTTTTTCAGTCTTTGTCTTACTTGATCTATCCAGTTTTTGACAATATCACTCCCTCCTTTCCAAACCCTTAACATTTTGTCACATAGGTTTCAGGGAACCCATTTCTCTAGTTTTCAACCTTTCTGTCCATTTCCTTCTCAGTCTCTTATGCTGACTTGTCCACATCTCCCCAACCTCTAAATGTGGCATGTCCCTGGACTCAGTTCTTAGACTGCTCTGTTTTCTGTTTTTACTCCCTAGAATTCCTGATTTTAAATTTTGTCTCTGGTGATGTCTTCCATATTTATTCCAGTCCAGACTTCTCCTTTTAACTCTAGATGTTTAGTAGGTATCTCAAACTAATATGTTTATACTGAATTCCTGAAATGTCCTATATTCTAAATTTGTTGCTTCTGCAATTTTGCCCATCTCGTTCATGGCAGGTACATTTTTTTTATTTTCTGAGATTTTAAAAACCTGTAATATCATCTTTGACTTTTTGGTTTCTCATATTTGATTTATTTGCAAATTCTGTTGGCTCTACCATCAAAATATCTACAATTTGAACTACTTCACATCACCTTCACTTGCTTTCACTTTAGTCCAAGCCACTAGCCTCTTATGATTATTGAATTAGCTTCCTAGCTGATTTCACTACATCCCTTGCTGCATTTTAGGCTATTTTCCCTATAGCAGCTAGAGTGATCCTGTTAAAATAAAAGATTATATCACTTCTCTAAATCTTCCATTGGTTTCCTGTCTGAGAGTTAAAGCCAAAGTCTTTATAGTGTCTTCACACAATATCTTACTGTTTCTTGTTCAGTTTGCTTTGGCCATACTGTCCTCCTTGCTCTTCCTGGGAAAATTCAGGCATACCACCATCTCAGAGCCTTTACACTCTGCTTTCCTTTTGCCCGAAGTGCTTTTTTTCAAGACATCTGCATGACTAGCTCCTTTCCTCACTTTGTTTCAAGTCTTGGTTACTTTTCCTGGCCTCCTCTCTAAAATTTCAAATACCCTTCATCACTTCCAATACATACCCTTTCCTGATTTATTTTTTTCTTACTAATCACCATCTAAGATAATGTCATGTTCATTTTGTGTTTAACCTACTAGAATATAAGTGCCATAAAGGCAGGATTTTTGTTTCTTTTGCTCACTACTGTCTCCACATAACTCAGCAATACCTAGTGTGTATTAGATGCACAATAAATATTGGTTAAGTGCATAAATATGTGTGTGTGTGTGTGTATACACATACATATAGACATACGTATATGAGCAAGGAATGTGTTAGGAAGTTAGATGGTCACTTTTTTCCCCCATGGATTTTTAAAAATAATTAGAACCTGCCATTATTATCCTAGAGTTGAACTGTCCTTTTTCTTGAAGTTTCAGAAAATGATCAGAGCTTTGAGGTGACCATGACTGCAACCACAGAGGTGGCAGATGATGAGATTACTGAGGGAACTGTGACACAGATCCAGGTATAGTTAAGTCTTTCTTTAAAATTGATTTTAGAGAGAGAAGACAGAGAGAGAGAAAAGAAACATTGATTTGTTGTTCCACTTATTTATGCATTTATTGGTTGATACTTGTGTGTCCTGACTGGGGATTGAAATACCCACAACCTTGCTATATCGGGATGACACTCTAACCAACTGAGCTACCCGGCCAGGGCCAAGTCTTTTTACTGGCTGCAAGAGGATCATCTTTTACACAGACCTTAGGTGATAAAATGGTGAGAACATATTTTGCCTGACAACATAGCAACCACAGAATTGAGGGTAAGATAAAGACTGCTTTAGCTACATTAATAATAAAAAGTAGTACCATATAATTCTTTGAGAAGAAGGTACATTAATGAGGGTAGAAGTCATGACACTAGAGGCTGGCTAAAATAAAGTTGTCAGTGAACAGTAAACAGACCATAATTTTGCAATAATGTCTTTTGAGTTAGCCTGTTAATCCTTTAAATTTAACAAGAGATTACATTACAGATGGCTATGTATTTAGACAGCAAACTACCTGTGAGAACATTGTCATAACTCAACCCCAGCATTTCCATTTTATTGTATGTATGAGCTAATTTAAATATATAAACATCATATATTTAAATAATAATATATGTATGCTTTTACCTTTTCAAGATTTTACAGAATGAGCAACTAGATGAAATATCTCCCTTGGGTAATGAGGAAGTTTCAGCAGTTAGCCAAGCATGGTTTACAACTAAAGAAGATAAGGATTCTCTGACTAACAAAGGTAAGATATACTGTGAATTTTAGTATCTGCTGGGAAAAAATGGAGATAAAAAGAGCTTATAGTCATTAGGATTCTGAGTTGAACCTTCATAATTGTGATTCAGTAGTTACAGTAATTGAGCTTTTCTTTTTATTTATTTATATTACATTTATTGGGGTGACATTGGTTAATAATATCATCGAGCTTTCAAATATGCATTTCTATGATAACATGTTCTGTATATTGCATTTTGTGCCCGTCACCCACAGTCAGATTGTCTTCTATCACCGTATATTTGGCCCCCTTTTCTCTTTACTGCCCCACCCCACCCCTCTGGTAACTGCCATACTGTTGTCTGTGTCTGTGAGTTTCAGTTTTCCATCCCACATATGAGTGAAATCATAAGGGCCTTAGCCTTTTCTAAATGACTTATTTCTAATTGAATTAAATTTGGCTCTAAATGACTAAGACAATGAAACCAACGTTTGTTTTTCAATAATTGATCATTTTTCTGATATGAAGTAGATTTTGTCTTGTTAATTTTTGAACAAATGGATAGCGGTGGCATTTAAAAGACAGTACAGCCTTTCCAGTGTGGCTCAGTGGTTGAGCATCGACCTATGATCCAGGTGACCGCAGTTCAATTCCCAATCAGGGCACATGCCTGGGTTGTGGGCTTGATCTCCAGCAGGGAACATGAAGGAGGCAGCCAATCAATGACTCTCTCATCTTGTTTCTATCTCTCTCCCTCTCCCTCCCTCTTTCTGAAATCAGTAAAGACATATTTTTTTTAAAAAGAAGACAATATAGTTACTGCTTATGGGAATAGGAAATCAAGCATTTTCAAAAATCTAAGTAGCTTAGAGGCTTACTGTTACATGGTGTTTATATTGCTGCTGTGCTCATAACGATTGCTAGGAAGCTGCTACAAGGGGGGGGTTGAGCATGCCGCTCCGAAGTAAGGAAAGGAAACAAAAGTAAGTAAATTGTTTTTAACCACTGTAAATACTCATTTAGAATATATTATTCACTTGGTGTCCAGTGTATTATGTTTATCTTGCCCTAGAATCTTTCATATATGTTAGTTTGCCCAAAAATTTTATTTTTCATTGGAGAAAGTTTTTAGCTAGTTGGGCTTCTCTAATACTTACAAGTCTTTTTAGCTATTCTGTACTACTTGAAAGGGTAAGAGGAGTAACTGAGAGGAAGTAACATTTTTTTAATCTTTTACTTACGTTTGTCTTTATTTAGTAGGGTCAAAGATATTCTTTCTTAAAAAGCAGAGGTTTCAAAAGCAGCTTTACCTAGGGATCTTTCAGGTTTCAGATGAATGAGAAATTAAATTAGCTGCATGTTATTCTCATAGGTAATATATTTAATGAGAAGGCAAATCGTTGGTATTTTATTCTTCTGAAAGAATAACATTTTCTATAATATTACCTATTTATTTTAAAGGACATAAATGGAAGCAAGGGATGTGGTCCAAGGAAGAAATTGATATTTTGATGAACAATATTGAACGCTATCTGAAGGTATCTTATGGCTTTTTTTTTGTTTCACTAATTTGTTCACTGCCAGTTGCAAAAATATCAAAGTAGCATATTATGTAAACTTAAGAGCTTTTCAGTAATTTGTGTAATAGGTGACTGGCTAATGTTGTAACTTAATTCTAAGGTATATGATTATATTTTTTAACAAATTTTGAATTCTCAGTTTGAAATAGCTTTATTGCTTCAGTTAACACCCTGAAGTTTAGACAAAATCTTAATAGCCTCTTGGAATCTTAAAGCCCTGTGTTTTAAAGCAGCTTATAAATTAAAGTTTAAGTTTATATTATCTAAAACCTAAGATATACACCTTCTTTGAATGAATTTATTACATCATACTAGTCCTTCCCTTTTTAAAAAAATCAAAAATTTAATTCATTTTCCTATTTAGACTTCTGTTTGTTTAGTCATCCTATTTGTTATGTGTCTGTTGAACACAGAATTTTGAGGCACTGGAGATAGCAGTTGCCTTAACACATAGAGTTTGATTTTGAAAAGCAGTCCATTTAGGAATGTTGCAAATAGGTAAAGAATGATACAAGGCTTTGTATGTGAGTGACATATGTTGTAAATTCTGCATGAGATCAGAGGAGGAAGAATATTTTGAGGGTTAGGACAGCTATGAAAAAAATATAGAAGAGCAAGGATTTAAGCTGAGTCCTTAAAAGGGGGGGTAGGGGGTAGTACTTAGGCTAAAGTAGGGCTGGAGGGAACAGCATGAGTAAATGCCGAACACCAAGAAATCAGAGATTAAACCCAGACCACATTAAATTACTGTAACTCCTTTAACTTGAACCAAAATAATTAGCTTCTGGAAACGGGGCTTTAAAGTCCAGACTGAAGAATTAGAACTCTGCCATATAGGAAATGAGAAAAACAGGTACCTTAGTTAAGTTAGAGATGATCAGGGTAAATCTGTGCTTTTCTCACTGACTATCCCCAAAATTAAGTTATATTCAAGTAGTGCGTGTTTGAAATGTATACCATTAGCATTGTTTGGGAATGGGAGGTGTACAGTGCTTATTTAATCATTCCCCCTCTGTTTGATACTTAGTTGGTTATAAATAGGTTGCTGCCTGGAATGTCCACATTCTTAGCTTAATTTTAAGCTGCATCTTTCCCAAGCTAAGCTTTCTAAACTATAAAGAGTTAAAAACTTTAATTCTTTATTAATGAATAAAGATCTTTTCTATCGAGGTAATTTTTTCAAGAGAAACAGAAATGCAGTGACCGTTAAAAATGTATTCCAGAAGTGTATTAAGTTGACTACTAGTCACATACACTTTAGTTAAGACTGGGAAAAAATACATGGGTTCAGATAAGGCAGTAATGAGTGGTCCAGGAGCAACTATGACTCTCAACTTACAAATAAAATGGTTATAATTTTGAACTGTGTCAGTTAAAATTGTCTTGAAGTTCAAAAAAAAAGACAGTAATAACTGGTAAGAACACTGAACTTTGGGAATTTAAGCAGCTGGCTTCTTTTCTAGGGGATTGGAAAAGATGATCTCCAAGGACCCTTCCAACTTTATGATTAAAGGGAAGGAACATGACTAAAATTTGAGACTATTTTTAGATGACCATTTCAGTTTTCTCCATGTCCATCCATACTGTCCCCGATCCTCCTTCTTTACAGCTGCATAGTATTCCATGGTGTAAATGTCCCACAGCTTTTCTGTCCACTCATCTACTACTGATGGGCACTTGGGCTGTTTCTAGATCTTAGCTATTGTAAATTGCACTACTGGGAACATAAGGGTGCATATATTCTTCTGATAAGTGTTTCAGGATTCTTAGGATACATTCCTAGAAGTGGGATCACTGGGTCAAAAGGCAGCTCCATTTTTAATTTTTTGAGGAACCTCCATATGTTTCCCATAGTGGCTGCACCAGTCTGCATTCCCACCAGCAGTGCACCAGGGCTCCCCTTTCTCCACACCCTCACCAGGACATATCATTTGTTGATGTGTTGAACTAAATACTGTTTTAAATGAAGTAATTTTTTCATAGATTTTTGGGTTTATATATAAAATATTTGCAAATGACTCTTCCAATCTTCATTCTTTTTATGTATTTTTTCTTTTATCAGACTATCAGCACATTCTAACTTACTAGGAGTGTTATCATATATGAATATTGAATTCCATGAATACTCTGTCCACACTTACTGAGACTTTACATTCTTTTCTATAAATCTACTTGTGCTTAATTACACTAATAATTTTTCTGAAATTAACACAAACTTGTATTCCTGGAATGAGCTCACTTTTTGCATTGATTTTTAACCTTTTTGTACATTGCCGGATTCAGCATGCTAAAATAAACTATTTTAAGGATTTACAGGATCTGTGTTAACGAATGAGCTTGGCCTGAAATTTATTTTCTGAAACTGTCCTTTTCTGTTTTTGCTATTAAGGCTATGCTGGCCTAATAAAATGAAGGGGGAGGTGTTCCCCAAATTAGTTTCTCTTGATTGTTTGATAGGATTTACCTATAAACTCATCTGGGCCTTGGATTTTCATTATTTCATTATGGTTTTCATTATTAATAACTGATTAAATTTTCTTGATGGTCTGTGCTTATTACATATTTTATCTCTTCCTGAGTCAGTTTTGGTAAGTTTTTTAGGAATACATTTTATCTAAGTTTTCAAATTCATTGCCATAAAATTTTCATAATGTTCAATTGTCTGATCTCTATAGGCTCCGTTTTTTTTTTGTTTTTTTTTCTAATATTGTTTTGTCTTTTTTTCCTACTTTTGCCATAAGTTTATCTTTCTGTATGTTATTAGTCTCAGTGGATCTTTTTCAAAGAACCAATTTTTAGCATCATTTACCCTTTGTATTTTTATTTGATTCTATGAATTTTGTTCTTATGATTTTCTTCCTTGGACTTCTTTAGATCTTAATTTTTTATAATTTTAAAAGAGGTTGACAGAATTTGACTTTACTGGATTTTATACAATTTATTTTTGGAACATTTAAATATTACTATTATCTTGCAACATTTTGAAGTTTATACTTATTAATGAATTAGCAATACATTATTTTTCAAAATGCCATTGATCTTTTTTAAAACTATTAAAAAGTATATCCATATGCATTTCATCAGAAATCCCTAAATCAAAGAAATGTAACCCATTTAGGCACGCGGAATAAAAGATGCTACAGAAATCATCTTTGAGATGTCAAAAGACGAAAGAAAAGATTTCTACAGGACTATAGCGTGGGGTCTGAACCGGCCTTTGTTTGCAGTTTATAGAAGAGTACTTCGCATGTATGATGACAGAAACCATGTGGGAAAGTATGAAAACTTGTAATGCTGCATGATTTCATGTAATTAGTGGAAATATTAAGGAACTGCCTTTTTTTTCTTTTTTTTAAATAGAATTTTGATCATAGCCTTAATTGGTGGCAGCTGTACTATGAATTACCATGGGGTTATGTTTCTCCAGGTCCATGTCGTGAATATGGTGAAACCTCATAAGTAAGGCCTCTTGTAGAAATTAGAATCTAAATCACTTTATGTAGGTTCAGTTTAAGACTTAGCTGACTTAATACATCAAAGTCTGCTTTGTAATAATATTATAAAAACTATAATAGTGATTAAAGATTTAGGAAGTGTGAAGAGAACTCTATAAATTCACTGGTAACATTTTTTCATATTCACTTTTATAGTATAGCATTTCCTAGTTCAGTGACTCGTGTTTTTAAATAATTGAATTTTTAGATACAATGCATGGATATCTGTTATAGGTAACATGGGAAGGCATCGTATTTTCAATGCAATGATTATATGGTGTTTTAACATTTTTTATTTCTCTTTGGGAATTTTAGGTGGTAGTAATATGGCTTACTAGATACTGGGTTTTTTGTGTGTGTGTGTGTTTTAATTCTCACCCGAGGAGACGTTTATTGATTTGAGAGAGAGAGAAAGGGAGAGTGAGAGAGAGAAACATCAATGTGAGAGAGAAACAACCATTGGTTGCCACCCATATACGCCCTGACCAGGAATTGAACCTGCAACCTAGGCATGTGCCATGACCAGGAATCAAACCCACAACCTTTCTGGCGTATGGGACCATGTTCCATCCAACTGAGCCACCCAGCCGGGGCTAGATACTGTTTTTTAAAAGAGCATTGCATTGACTGTATTGCGTGTTTGCCCACTTTAAAAAAAAGAACCTTTTCATTGGAGCTACAGTATGTCAGATGTCCATGCATGAGTAGAGGAAATGAGAATTTTAAATTTTTTAGTGCCTTGTGAGAATTTACGATAGATTTCCTTTCTAGCTCTGGTTTACAATGTCACCCATAATTTTTTCAGAATAGCTATGATACTACAGTGCCTGAACTGAACTTTTAAAGAAAGAGTTAGGCAGCATAGGAGCAAGTATGTTTTAAATGTTGAATTCTCTAGAGAAAATTGTAAATTGCTCCCTTTAATTATGGCTAACAGTATTTGTTGGTGGTGTGTTTTTTTTTAAAGAAAGTAGAAGCATTAATTTTTATTAATCTACTTTGAAACTGGTTACTTTGAAAATATTATCAATATATTAAGTGACTTAACATTTGGCTCCTTACGTGAAATTCTGATATTTATTAAGGTTTTTAGCATTCTTTGTTTTAATTGATCTTTTTTTAAAATTTCTTTAAATTTTTAGATATACGCCTGAAGAAATTGAAAAGCTCAAGGAGTAAGTTTTAAAAATTTTATTCATTAATTCTTGTAGTTGGGTTTTATTATTTTGTGTCTTGTGTTTTAAAAGTTTTACTTTCAAATGTCAAGAGGTTTTTGGTAGACTGGTCTAATTAATCCTACTGTGAAGTGTGATCACCCATAAAAACTTAACAGATTTCATACCTGCACAGAGTAGCCATGCCCATAAATTTAGTCTCCTCCTGTTGTCAGTTAACAAATGAAATGCATCCTTAGACCACTGTTAGGGGTTACAGAAGAGATCAGATGGCCATTCTTGGTGGCCTGAACTCTAAATCTGGGGAACTTATGTACCAGGATCAAAACCAAGGTTGTGCTACATGGCTTCATTTAGAATGTGACTTGGCATTGTTTCACTTAATGTCTGGGTTGTTTCACTTAGTCTCTATCTTATAAAGGCTATTTCACAGGAAACATAATTTTGCTTCATTGAGTTAGGGCCATAAAGTATGGGTTAATGAATACGATGAATCATGAAAAAAAATTGAAGGGTGGTCTTGTTTATGATGATAAGAACTTAAGAAACTTTCAGATATCTGAGAAGAGCTTGTTAGGAGTATTCAGAAGGGAAAAATCTGGGGATTGCCTGGGAGATTATGTCAATAACCTGAGGGGAAATTTGGTCTTTTTTGAACACATATCCAAGTTATTTATTTCTTCTCTGACCCAGGAAAAAGGCAATTGCTGCCTGTTTTTTTTTCACCCACAGACAACTGTGGACCCCAAAAAAAGGCCACACTTTCAAACTTTGGCTCTCAAAGTATTGCTGCCCACAACTTCCAAACCAGTCAAATGGGAAGAAGAAGAATGAAGAATAAATGATGAAATTAAAAGGGAGAAAACAGTTGAACCAAATGCTGATTGGCAGACTCTTGTTTTAGGCTCCGGATAAAGCATGGCAATGACTGGGCAACAATAGGGGCGGCGCTAGGAAGAAGTGCATCTTCCGTCAAAGATCGGTGCCGACTGATGAAGGATACTTGCAACACAGGTACTGTGAGTGCTACTGGTGGGTGGGTTTTGGTGACATTTGAACTTCCTGCCCCTTCAGATACCACTTTCCCTTCTGTTCTGGAAAGAAATTTGTTATTCACTTTAGTTCAAATTTTATTTTCTAGTCTTCCTTTTTCTTCAAGCTTAACAGAGCCAACTATTTTTGTGCTTTTGTGTAAAAGTGACATTGTTCACAGAGATACAACATCTGTTTCATAGATTTTAGGTCTAGCATGTTTCCATTTTGTAGCAATTCAAAACTGTTCCAGTTGGGGAAGTATTTATTTTTAAGGATTATATACAGGTTTAAGGCTTATATACAGGAAGGCATTTTAAGTTCATCTAACTGTTCAACTTTTGTTAACAACAGCTTATCTCAACTCATGTTTGTGAAAAACTTCAGTTCCAGGCAGGTCCCAACTTAGGATGAAGCTATATTCCAACAGTTTGTATGTATTTCGCTTGTTTTAAACTCAAAGTAAATTTTTCCATAGAAAAAACTTGTGATTAGTGTTTCACTCCCTAGGCCAGATCACAAATGCCTATTTAATTCTTAAAGTATACACATGTAGAGATGGTACTGTTAAACCTAAATTTTGTGCCCAACAACAGTATTTAGGCTCTGCCACTAAGCTCTCATTTAACCTGTTTGAGCTTCAGGTTCCTCTGTAAAATGAAGAGGTTAGACTAGGAGGTGTCCTAGTTTCCTTTTAGCCCTAATGTTCTGAAGGATCCAGTCTCCGATAGGTATTTATTTATTTATTTATTTAATCCTCACCGGAGGACTTACTTAGAGAGAGGAAGGGAGAGAGACACATCAGTGTGAGAGAGAAACATTGGTCGGTTGGTTGCCTTCTGTATGTACCCTGGCCAGGGATTGCACTGGCAACCTTTCAGTGCATGGGACAGTGCCCAACCAACTGAGCCACTCTGGCGAGGCTGATCAGTCTTTATAAGAAAAATGGTTCTCAAGTTAAGCTTGAGCTTCCAGGAAATATATTTTCTTTCCTTACCCCCGTACCCAGCTAAAGTGGATTCAGTAATGTTTCCTGCTTAACCACTCCACCAGCACTATTACCAGCAGGCAATGAAGACATAATGCCACCAGCTCATTCTCTGGTGAATGACAACTTAATGAAGCGAGAATGGGAGCTTTAGATTAGGATGGACCCCAAAGATGCTGAGTACAGAACCCCCTTTGTTAGCGTAACTGGGACAAACACTGTGCCATTCCTTGATTGCCAGCCTGAGGGATTGATCTGCCTGTTATCTTTCCATGTTGCTATGTACTGTTTCTGATCAGGAGTTCTCTCCTTTGTACACCATGAGACAACAGTCTAGGCTTTCCCTTACTTTCCTACCATGCTAAAATAGGAGAGCAGGACGTTGTCTTGAATCCGTGGTATCCAGACTGTGCCTAGCACCTAATAAGCAGTAAATATTTGTTAATTAAACTAATCCTGGAAGCAAGCACATAGCATTTTTGAATTTTTCCAGAAGGTTTTAGCTACTAGTAACAAAAAGGAAGTAAGTTTTTTCCTTTCTGTTTTTCAACTCAAGCTCCTTAAGAAGAGACTAAGAGGAACATTACATGTTGTTAGTAGGTTTCTGAGTTCAGAAAGACTTGGAATAAAATATGCATGAATACCAGTCTCAGACTTAAATTTCATCACAGTAGCTTGGAGTTAGGATAGTGGGAAAAGGAGATGGTATAAACCTATTTTTATTTTTACTAAAATGGGTGGGAAGCCATACATGTTATTTCGCTTGCCCTCACCATTCATTCCTATAAGTAAAGGTCTCTGTTGAGCCTATGCCACTTCTGCAGAGCAGGGAAGCTTAGGTGAGCCTAAGCCTAAGATAGACTACGAGTTTCTGTGTTCATCAAGCCATCGGTGAAGCTCTTCCCACTTTAGGACTTAGTGTAACTTGAGAGTACATAATTCTTTTTTCGTTTTTTTTTAATTTTTTTATTGATTTCAGAGAGGAAGGGAAAAGGATAGATGGCAGCATCAATGATGAGAGTGTCATTGATCAACTGCCTCCTGCACGCCGCCTACCAGGGATCGAGCCTGCAACCCGGGCATGTGCCCTGACGGGGAATCGAACCGTGACCTTCTGGTTCATAGGTTCACTCTCAACCACTGAACCACACTGCTGGGCAATTTTTTCTAGTTATGTTTTGGATAGTTTTTCTTGAAGAGTCACTTTATGCTTTCTATTAGTATTCTATAGTACTTTCTTTTGTACTAACAACCTGACTGGGTTAGTAAAATGCAACTGTCTTAGGTATTATATGTTTCCCACCTGATTTTCTTCTTTCAGGGAAATGGACAGAAGAAGAAGAAAAGAGACTTGCAGAAGTGGTTCATGAATTGACAAGCACTGAGCCAGGGGACATCGTCACACAGGGTGTGTCTTGGGCAGCTGTGGCAGAACGAGTGGGTACCCGCTCAGAAAAGCAGTGTCGTTCTAAATGGCTCAACTACCTGAACTGGAAACAAAGTGGGGGTACTGAGTGGACCAAGGAAGATGAAATTAATCTCATCCTCAGGTTTGTGTCCTAAATCTTTTAATGACAGAAGCTGCTTAATAGTTGTGCATGTCTTGTTCTCTCTTGGTTTCCCTAGATGCCTAATGTCCGAAAAGCATCTTTTCCATAGAGAGCCACTGTTTAAGATCTTGTTTCATATTGAGCTCTTTTTGTGTGCATATGTTTGTCCCTTTTTAGTGGTTTCAGTGCTTGTTCAAAGTGCCAGATTGAAGGTGTGGAGACTGAAGTTCTCTGTGTCCACAGAACAGGTATGGCGCAGGCAGCGGCCGTGAAGGCAGCTTTCCCACTGTCCCGCTAGTGTGTCTCGTTCCTAGCCCAAGGGCCATATTGCAGATGAGAGAGATATTCAGTCTCCATGCCCTCAGTCTGTGGCTACTATGCTAGGAGTACCAAGAAGGGGGCCCAGTCTACAGTTACCCCACACCTTCAAACTGGTCCAGATCAGGCACTTCCATTTCATACATACAAAAAACTAACTTTAGGATAATCCCAAGCTCATTTTTTAAATTAGTTGGTTTAACCATTAAGATTCAGTGACTCATGTGGGCAAAAAGACCAGCAAGAAAATATTTGAGACACTGAGTTAATAGGAACTATCATTGTGGCTGCTTCCTACTGAAAATCAAAACCAACATGACAGTTAAGCTAGAAAACAAACCATTAAAACCCCAAATTTAATTGGGTTTTTTTTTGGTTTTGGGTTGCTGCTGTAGTATTGTTTTCGTCTTGTCATTTTGCTTTGGTTTTTATTCTTAATAGTTTTTTTAAAACCAGTTTTTATAAATAGCTTAATTCTAAACATTTTTTTAAAATTTTACAAATGGAAAGCTCAGATCCCAGAAATAACTTACTATAACACACTATAAAACATTGCAGAGCACTATACAACTAAACCTGTTCTTAGCCTATTCTCACCTTCACTCTTTCCTTCACAGTGCTTCATCTGGTTCATTAACAGTTCAGCCCATTGGTTGTACCATTTACAAAAGGCTGTTGCTGGTGATATTTCATAGCTTTTAGCTCTGGAAGCAGGTCTGCACTCCTGGAATCCTTTCCCATGCAACAATAGCATCTCAGTGACATAACCTACCACTCCTGTTATCACCATTGCCATCATGTGCAGTCAGAGGAGGGATCTTATGGAGAAGTAAACTAACATCTGACAAATGCTTATTTTGTAACCTGTAGGATAGCAGAGCTTGATGTAGCTGATGAAAATGACATAAACTGGGATCTCTTAGCAGAGGGATGGACCAGTGTCCGTTCACCACAATGGCTTCGAAGTAAATGGTGGACCATCAAAAGGCAAATTGCAAACCATAAAGATGTTTCATTCCCTGGTAATGTATTATTTGCTTAAGCACCTTGTTTTAACCATATTTACCCTTCAGGAATTAGAGGTTAGAAGTTCTTTGCCTCAGCTAGAGATAGGAATCGTAGACTTTCACTTAAACCTCTCCCTTATTTCTTTGGAAAACAAGAGTTGATGTGATTTGTACTTTGCAAGGATCTAAGATAAAAATACACACATTCACACACATACTTGTTCTCACATAAACTATGAAGAGGAACTAAATTTTACGTACATATTTTCATTGTGTACAAAGATGAATTTCTGAAAATTGAAGTTTAATCAACTTTTATGAGTTGAATAATTTCAAATATCTTGTTAAGTAGAGAAACTCTGTGGTAATTTATTTTGTACAAGGGCTCTGTACATTTCTAATATCATTTGTTATGTAAATCTAGAAATGTTAAGTTGGGATTGCTTAAAAGTGAAGCATAGCATACTTTTCATTTTTTTGCCTGCTGTGCACTTAGGCACTAACCTAAGTTGTACAGCCTGCTTAATTTAGGTAATCAAATTTATTCCCCTTAATATAGTTCTCCAATGTCCATTTTTCCAGAGGAAAATTAAATGCTGAGAGACTGGCTTGATAAAATATGTTGTTGTGGGTTTTTTTTTAAATTAAATACTCTGTTATAAATTTATAAATCTGATAAAACCAGAGCAGTGAATGAATACTAATGTAACATGAACCCAACCAGATTGCAGTATCACCTGGGAGAACTGATGTAGTTTATCATGCCTAGCGGCTAGTCTACAGTTGGCTTTCCTGTACAAGAACTCAACATTGTTGCATATTACTGTATGGAAAAGATGAGCTGCTGTTCTAGAGTTGTGAATCAGACTCAGAGCTAACTAATTATGTTCTTGCAATTGTTAAAACAGGTGTCCTTGAGGGGAAAGTACATTTTCATTTAAAAATGAAAATAAGCTATTTAGCATTACCAATGTTTTTCCTAAATAATTTTATGAAGCCCTAGGACACAGAAAATGTCCTATTTCCATCATCCTCACAATGGCTATTTTTAAATGCATCTTAAATGGCAAGAATAATACTATGTTAGGATTTTTTTTTTAATCTGTTGTGATGGAGAACATTTCCAAAAATTTCCAGACAGGTTGTAGTTTTAAAATATTTTTATTTTGGTAAGATTTCACATCCAGCATACAATTATTTATTCCAAATACTTTCCCTCCTTACCCCCCACCTCCCTTGCTGCTTAGATGGTGGTCTGTCGGAGAGTCAATGTTCTTTTTGTCTACCCATCTCCCTTCAGTCTTAATAAAAGGTCTTAAACAGTTACATGAGAATCAAAAAAACAACCCAACGCTTTTGGAGAATAAATCAGGATCTGGAGTTCCAAACAGTAATTCCAATTCCAGTGTACAGCACGTTCAGATCAGAGTCGCCCGCTTGGAAGACAATACAGCCATCTCTCCAAGCCCCATGGCAGCCTTGCAGATTCCAGTCCAGATCACCCATGTCTGTAAGTGTTTGGACCTCAAGATTCCTTGCTATGTGACTTATATAATTTGGTTAATGGCTCTGACACATTTCAGTCTTCTAGAATGTTGAAATTTATCCAAGTTGATGAATTAAAGGAGATCGAAGGCATTTTGTTTATTAGCTCAGTATTTGCTAAAAAGATGTGTATAGACAGTATTAAATCATCTTTCTTTCTAGATGCTATAAAGAAATTAATGATTAATAGAAAACTACCTCATACAGTCAATTGAGCAAGAAAATAAGAGTTCATAAGGTGGCTCATCTTTTGTAGTAATTCTCCAGAAGTCACAAATTAGAAAAGGATTTGAGGTGGTTTGAAAAGGGGGTTTTGATGAGATCGAAAAAGATTTTCTTCAGGGAATAAAAGCCAGTTTCCTATGGAAACTGTTTCTTTACTCCTTTTTCCTTAGCCCCTTTTTTTGTGTGTTTAAGGAGATGAGAATCCCTAGCAATTGTAGGAAGGGGAAATGTATTTCCTGAGCTCTAAGCCAAGTTGATCTTTCTACTTTCTTCCCATTAGTGACAGAAAAGCAATGAAACATAATAATCTCAGAACCATATTATTCTTCACTTACTTTTATGTCACTTTTTTTTCTTCTACATAATGCTACTTGCCTGTGGAGAGGTCACTGCCAAGAGTACACAAATCACTGTGTGTTGTTTTCAACCAGGGGATAATTGGGATTTTGAGTGGGACAGTTCCTTTGTTGGCAGAACTCTCCTACAAAATGCAAGTCATGCTTTCCAATCATTATGGGGGGAAAAACACCACCCTACGGATTTTCAAATGTACCCTATGATCCCGTTTGAAAATCACTGGGCCACTTATGTAATTAACACTACAAATCTGCATATGCAGTGACTGTCAAAGTTACCTTACAAACATGTAAGTTAATCATGCCTGTCTTATTCTTAAAGTTCTAACTTAAATTTGGTTATTTGCTTTAGCTTTACCAGTGAAATAAAGCATGAAGAATTTTTCTTTCGCACTGCTTGTTTTTATAAACTTGAAAATTGCAAAGCAGCTGATATTACTAGTCCACTATTAACATAAGAGCTACTGTTGGTTCTAAATTGATTTTGCATTGGAGATTGTTCATTTTTGTTGACTATTAGGTTGGCAATAATTTGGGGGAAAACAGCAAGCATTTTATAAATGATACCGTAATATTCATTCACAGCATAGCTTTTTAGCCCGAACCACATGTCTATGGCCATAGTTTGTTTACCTTTGATTAAGGTTATTTATCTGGAATCACTTCAAATTATTCCAGGTATGATCTTAAGAATCCATTCTAACAGTAAGAGAAATAACCCAAATGAAGTACATTTCTTTTGGTAAAGGTGTCACATTTCTTTCAAACTGAGAAGTGTTATTCAGAATATAATAAACAGTAAGCACTACATGTGAGGAGTCGATTCCAAATCATTTTCCAGATGGATTTACCTATAGGTGCAACTAAAAGTACCAGAAGAGATCACATTTTTTCTAGTAAGTCTTAGTTCTATGTAACCTTCAGCAGAACGCTAAGTCTGAGTCTCAATCGACACATCTATAAAGAGATTATACTATCTGATCTCTAAAGTGCTTTTCAGTTTCCCAAATGTGGTTGTTCTGAAATATATTTATTTCATGTTTTGTCCTCACAACTATGTGAGGTAGGCAGGACAGATAAAGTCTCTGGACTTTCATTTGAATTAAAGTTATTTGCCCAGGTTTACATTGCTAGGAAGTGATGCCACTAGAACTAAAACCTAGTGTTTGGGACTACCATTCGAGACATCTGTACCACTTACCAGAATGTCCAGGAAATGTTCTTTTTCACCAAGTTCCTATCTCTCTTTACATGTTTAGCCTTAGTGTATTCCTCTTACTTCCTAACAATGGACATATAAACGAAAGTACATAGCTATTTTCTTATAATACTTGATTTACAAAAACTGGTAGTGGGCTGGATCTGGCTGTGGACCATAGTTTGCCAATCCCTAACCTATGCCATCCCAGACAAATCCATTAGATTTCTTAGTATCTCATAAGAAATGTAAATGAATTCAGGTTTCTAGGCAAATTATTCAGTATGAGATTGCCTTCCTAATAATTAAGTACACTAGGAAAATGTAAATTTACAAAGTATTTTATTGCTGTCCTTGTTCTTACCACAGCTTCAACAGACTCCCCTGCTGCTACTGTTGACTCGGAAACAATAACACTAAACAGTGGAACACTACAAACGTTTGAGATTCTTCCAGTGAGTAATACTTCACAACGTAGATATTAGCCATTTTTACACATAAGAAAGATCAGCTGTTATCAGTTTTAGAAATGCTACATATAAGCAAATGAAATGTAAAAACATGACTGGCATTAAGTGCAACTATATCCATGGTCTTGAGGCCAGATAGTTAGAAGACAACATATAAAAGTGGAAGTCTCAATTTAATTCAGTCGTCATCTTCATCTGTATATAAAATAATGTTTTTATACACGAAAATGACAGTGCTAATGAGTAGGGCACACGCATGCTATTAGTTTTGTATTGAGTCATAAGAGATATATAACCAAGTATTAGTCATTTGAGAAAAAGCTTGTGGAATAAACTATTTAATAACATTCATTCAGTAAATATTGTACTAGCCACTGGGGATACAGAATTTACGAGTCCCGGTCCTCAATGGCATAGCCACTTTGGAAAAGAATCTTGCAGTCTCTGAAAAGGTTAAAACTACAGTTACCATATGACCCAATTCTAATCCCAGGTAATGCCTAAGAGAAATATGTCCACATAAAAAAACTGTACATGAATGTTCACATTCATAATAAAAAAGCGGAAACAACCCAAACGTGCATCCACCAATAAATGGGTAAATAAGATGTCCTATAGCCATAACAAAAGGCTATTTGGTAGTAAAAGAGAACAAAGTATTTATATACATGCTACAGTCAGGATGAACCTCGAAAACATTATACTGAAATGAAAGAAACTAGACACAAAAAACCATATAGTGTATTTCTCTGAACTGTCCAAAATAGACAAACCTATTTAGACAGAATGTAGATTAGTAGCTGTCAATACTAAGAGGTTTGGGGGAGAAATAGGGCATGACTGCTAACTTGATAGTTTCTTTTGGGGGTGTTGGAAAATTTTTCTAAAGTTGCACTTCTTGCCCTGCTTTCTTAAAACAGGGTAAAGCCAGAATTAGCTCGATTTTCATGAAGAAAATATAAGTTTAAATTATGTCGATTATTTCCTGTGAAGAACGTAAGGGGTATTAGAGTAAGAGTTTATCCTCTCCATAGCCAAATCTCATAAGGATAGCCAACACGGCCAAAAGTTCTCTTTGAGAACAACCTTGGAACTTCTACTTTACTTAAGCCTCTGTTTCCTAATCCAGTGGTCTACAAAATAGGGCCATATAAGATAACCTTTTTTCTTTTTTGCTACCTTCCTCTCCTCCTGACTAAATAAACAATGTATACACTTATATTTGGGGTATGTATTCAGGTTTTCACTTATTGGGTTGGAATCAAATATTTAGAGATGTCTATTCAGATTTATTAATAGAGAGTAATAATAGTGCCTTGGCTTCAAAAAATTGTGAGCATTGAATGTGTAAGTATATTAAATAAAGTGCGTATATTAAAATGTACATATATTTAGTGCCTGATCATGTGATTAATAAATACAACCATTAGGAAAACAGGTGTCACTTTTATGGAGACAGAAGAAAGAAATTGAGTTCCCACTGTGAGTCAGGCACCATTGTAATCATTTCTAAGCCTCACAACCCTCCCATGAGCAGTAGTTAATATCCTCAGGTTAGCAGTAAGGACACCTAGATTCAGTGAGTCTGTGCCCAGGAGAGCAGTTGCAGCTTAGGTGCACAGGATCACATCAGACTAAAGAACAGGCTCTATGACTCCAGCTCTATTTTAAGTGCAAATACATTCGCTTTAGAGTGTTCGGAAAAACCAAACTCAAATTATTATATAGAAGCTTATGGCTGTGAAAGGTGTATGGGTGTTGAATAGTCTTGTTAATACTTCTGTAATCTCAAAAAAACACAAAACAATCTATTATCTGTTTACCAGCTTTTCAAACAGGAATTTTTTTTCCTTTAGCAGAACACTGCTAATTGCTATTTCTGTACATTTCCTCTTAATATAAAAAATATTTGCTGAAATCATGCTATGAAAAAAATCTTTTCAAGTAACACTGCTGCAGTGCCTTTTAAAAAATGTGAAGCTTTTTAAACTGGGAGAATGCCAGTTTTTATATGCTACAGAGAAGGATAACTATGGAAGATTGGGCATGCTGGTTACTGCATAGGAAACACTGGCTCATATGACCGTGTCTTCATGCTATGAAACATATAAAACCAGACCATAGAAGGCCTTGCCTCTCTTATTTTTAACTCTAGGCCAAGTAATGACTTAAGACAGATAAATAGTAAAGGCTATCCGTCATTACTTGTTCCCACCTACACAATTGGTAAGTGCATTTGCGGCTAGTAAATTAGCCCCCATTTTGGATATAAAATTGGACTTAATGAGTACTAGTGAGTTTACTTACTTAACTCAATAGTCTGTTGCACCTGTATTGATCTTGTTTTTCTTTTTCTTTTAGTCTTTCCATTTACAGCCGACTGGGACGCCAGGTACCTACCTGCTTCAGACAAGCTCAAGCCAAGGCCTTCCCCTCACTCTGACTGCTAGTCCCACAGTAACCCTCACGGCTGCTGCTCCTGCTTCTCCTGAACAGATCATTGTTCATGCTTTATCCGTATGTTATCTTACATAAATCTTTGATTTTTCTAGTTTTTGCAGAGAAGATTGGCTAACAAGTGTCACCATGTTTTTCCAGTTTTTAATACTATGATAGAACTCATGTGCCTTCAATAACAAGATCTCTGGGGGGAGGGGGTCTATTTTGAGCTCAGTTCAAGTATTTGAATACCTGTTAGGAACCAAAATTAGTTGATATAAAATATAAGGTCCCAGACTAATACAGTCCATTTATTTAAACAATTCTTCCTACCACTATTGTCCCAGGAGCAACATTTTACATCTTCCTTCTGCCTTCACTGGAGTAAATCCCTCATTCCTTGTGTACCCTTACATGTGATGAACTTAGAGAAATAGGGACATTAGGAGAAAAAAGGCCCACATAGGCAAACAGGGTTTCTAGAAAAATCATAAGAACACTGCAGTTTCAGAGGTGAGAGGTGGGGGGAACAGTAGCCCATATTAGCACCTATAAATGTCGCTTGCTGCCTATAACTTGAATGTGATGGGTACTGTTTCATTTTGCCATTGATTATTTTCTTTAACATTTTATAGCCAGAGCATTTGTTGAACACAAGTGACAATGTTACAGTCCAGTGTCACACACCAAGAGTCATCATTCAGACAGTTGCCACAGAGGACATCACTTCTTCCGTATCCCAAGCAGAACTGACAGTAGATAGTGATATTCATTCATCTGATTTTCCTGAGCCTCCAGATGCCCTGGAAGCAGACACTTTCCCAGATGAAATTCATCAACCTAAGGTGACTGTAGAGCCATCATTTAATGATGCTCGTGTATCCAAATTCAGTGACCAAAATAGCACAGAACTGATGAATAGTGTTATGGTCAGAACAGAAGACGACCTTAAACAAGAGGAGGAAGCACCCTCTCATTTAGCCTGTGCTTATGTTACTGAGGTAAGTTGCACTTCAGTGAACAGCCTGTGGGTTCTTGCTTTGAGCTTCAAACCTATAGTTTGGAAAGAGCCTAGAAATAATTTATGGGATGATATCCTGTGATACCTTTTTTCTTTAGACACAAAGTGCAGACCCCCACCTCCAACCTCACAAGTATCAGTCAACCAGCAGTGTTGCTCTGTCTTACCACTGTTCCTCACTAAAAGCTTTACCTTGGAAAGGTTTGTTGGAAACCATGGAAGCATTTTCCTGAAGGCGGTTAATAATAGATCTCTGTGGTTTTAGCTTAGGAACATCAGGCCACAGAACAGGATTATTCTACATTCAGGGGCCTGTTACTAAATTGTGTTGTTTTTTTTAATTCTTTTCTCTCAATATTTGGTTCATTAAGAGTATGAAGTTAACTGCTTTTGTCCACTTTAAGACCTTAACTTTCATTTCTTTATATTTTAATTTTAAAATGGGATATTTGAAAGTTAAATCTTTTCAAACCTAAAAATGTTTGGGATCTTAAGGAAAACTAATAAGAAAAGAGTCAGAATCTTATTTTTTTTAATTATTATTTAGGATTTAGAGTCTCCTACTATAGAAGAACAAGTTGATCAAACAACAATTGATGATGAAACGATACTTATTGTTCCTTCACCACATGGCTTTATCCAGGCATCTGATGTTATAGATACGGAATCTGTCTTGCCTTTGACAACACTAACAGGTACTGTAATACAACTCCATCATGTGCCTGACAAGTCCGAAGGAGAAAAATCAGGCAGTCAGATATTTAATTCGGTTGTTTTAGTCTTTCTTGATCCAACAATAAAGATAAGTCTTCTTGTTAAATTTTTCACTTTGGTAGAATACTTTAAATTCTTGACATGGATTAGAGAATATATACATTACGTACATTTAAGACTAACTTGAAACTTATTACAGATCCCATACTCCAACATCATCAAGAAGAATCAAACATCATTGGATCATCTTTGGGCAGTCCTGTTTCAGAAGATTCAAAGGATGTTGAAGATTTGGTAAACTGTCATTAGGTAATTCAGGCAAAGAAGCCACACTGTTAATTACAACATCCCCAAAGAAATAGGAAGAACTCCCAAGAGGCTTAACTTACCATTCCTACAGCTTTTAAATAGCTACAGTGCTTAAGCCACTACAGTGTTGCTGCTATGACTTTTTACCTCCTTTAAATATATCACCTGACGTCTAGTCTTAGGGAAGTGTAGTTGAGTGGATTATGGGGGGATCTTAACTACATAGATCCCTGTGATAAGTGCCATCTGTTAGCCGGGAATTTCATTCACTTCAGCCTCTGAGAAAAGTTTGAAGTCACCAAAGCTTAACTACTCTGTTTTAGAAGAGGTAATACTCATCTCTGAAGATCAGATATGAGTCTCTATTCAGTCTCAAGTAGGCCTGTTTATATTTCAGAGAAATCACATCAACATGGTCTGGAGTTTACCAGTGACTTTCTTCAAAAAGATTATCATTAGATTGAGACTTGACCAGCATACAAGGACACAGACTTAGGAGGTGTGGCAGTTATCTTTGGTTTACGGACTGCTGGCAGTGGGAGCTGATTCAACTGGGTAGAGAGGAAAGCATTAAGAGTTAAAAAAAAAAATTCACTACAGTTTTTTTTTATTACTTTTAAAGGGACTTTGGGTGAAAGTAGTATCAAAACTCAAAAGTTTTCACTCCTTCAGAACCCACTGTCATCAGTTTACAAAATTAGCACTTTGAAGTAAAATTAAATGGGAAGGAAGTAAAGTTCCCTGTCCTATACCATGACCGTTTCTTACATGTTTTGTGATATAAATTACCCAGAAATTGAGGGTATCAGTTTGCTGTTCACTTAGTGCATTAGCTGGTGAGGGTGTAATAAAATTTCTCCCTCTCGGGCAATTTTAAAAAACAAAATTTGCTTCTGCAATGAAAGGAAACAAATCAAGAGTCATTCCTGTACTAGAAAAGGTTAAACCAAAATTAGCCTCTTAAAGCTTTAATGCATATGACTCCTATAGAAAAGTCAAAAAAAGAAAAAAAAAAACCTTGTATAAATTATTTTATTTATTATTGTAATTAGATCTTCACAATCAAATTGTCTTTTCACCGTCTGTTTTGTTAATGTGAAATTTAATTGTAGTTATAAGCAAGAGTTGGTTGCTTAGGGAACAATAATTGTATATTCAGTTTAACAAATAAAAGAATATTTGTCTTAAAATGCAAGATTGTTTGTTACATAGCCTTTCACCATGCAATTACATTATAAAAATTTTTAATTTCAAAAGTGAAAATTACTTGTGCTGTTTGAGCTTCAAGGGTTGGAATGTTTAAGTGCAACATCAGCTCCTTAAAGAAAAAAGCAAAGTGATTGATGATATGTCTCCCCTGCAAGAGGGAATTTAGCTTTACAATTAACATGAAAATCATGTATTGGACTTGTGCAGGAGATTCTTCAGCATACCTTATCCAGCTTTTATTCACAGTCCTAAGTATAGCTTTGAAGAGACCTGGTATTTTCTGCTTGGCAGCCTCACTTTCCCACATCATGGAAGTACAGGTTCGCACATATACATAACATGATGATAGAAAATAAGATATAGTAAATTAGATTTCTAAATTTCGGTTCTAAGTCTCCTTGTCGATACCAGTAGATCTAAAAGAAGAATTAAATAAAAATTTAATTAATAGCCATTGGTTCAAGTATTTAAAATACAATTCTTTCCCCCTGTATGAGACAGTCTTTATATTAATCTGCATTCCTGAGAATTAATGCAGCCTGAATTTAATTCTTATTTATAATTCAAGTAGTACCACTGAGTTTCCACATCCAAGATCATACTATTCCTGCTTGCTCAGTTAACTTTGTTCTATGTTCAAACCAATAACATCCACCAATCATTTGGCAAGCCATCCAAAAATATGTACCTTCTGGACATATTTTAAGTACAGGGTGGGCAAAAGTAAGCTTACAGTTGTGAGCATGTGAAACACAGTTTATTATATTTATTCTTGTATATATATTTTCCATACAAACTACTCTAAACCTACTTTTGCTCACCCCTGTATATTTGAGTAAATGATAAAATTCCTTTAGTTACTGGAAGGGATGACTTTTTAATTCATCTAACATTCAGATTGCCAATAAAACAGTGGGTTTACATATGCATGCATTTGGTTTAAACTAAATCACTGTCAGTCACTTCTGGCTCTAGGCTGGGGGTGGGAGGAGAGCATCTCTGGTAGCTTTGTCTAAAAATTCCTAAAGTGGGATGCTCAGTTCTTCCCTCATGTCATGGAGTATAGCAGAATCAGTTAGAATCCCATCCTGTTTAATCTTAAATAAGTACACTGCTATTACGATTCAAGCCCTATGTAAATCAAAACAACTGCTTTTAAGGGGTTTACTGTTTTGATTCTGTCTCTCATCAAAGGAAATTAAACAAGAGCCAACTAATGAATGACTGAACACTTGGCAAATACCCAACTAAGATCTACCACCATCTTTGTTTCTTCACCTAAAAGAAAAGCTGCTTTGTAGTGAAACTGAACATTGTTGTGATAAGGATACAACTGCAGCTTTAGGTTACCCTGGAGAATTACTTTCATTTGGGAAGATAAGCGCAGAAATTAAAACAGACTAATTTTGTAATTATTAGAAATCCAGAGTGCTAGTGGTGCTGTATCTCTTTCTGTAGGAGCAGTAATGACATTTCCCAAAGCGTGTTGGGCCCTCTATGTAGTTCTTGAAAGAAGATGAATTAAAGTAAATTACAACAAATCTTTGGCTTCCTAAGTCTTTTAAACTATTCCTTTCCTTCCATTTTTTAGCCACAACTTTGGGATTTAAGAGGAAAACAAACTCAGATTAAAAAGAAAACCCTGCAATTAATATTGAGAATTCTGACAGCCTCAGGGGGTTGGGGTAGGGGGCTTGTAATTTGAGATACCCTTTCATATAGACCCAGGGCCGGATATCTGTCCTAGGTAGGCACCGCAACCTTCAACCCTCGAGGATATTCAGTTTCAGTTCTAAACAGTACTCACAAGTATGCAGGCAGTAATACTACTCATAGAGATGCAGACAGCAAAAAATATATTCAATGGTTTTGGAGGTGGTTGAGGGAAAACAAAAGCACTGATCAGCGTTACCTGCATGAAGAGAAATTATGTCAGGCCTTAGGAGTAATTCCAAGACTTGGTTACACTGGAATTACTGCTAAGGCAAAGTAATACTACAAAATGCTTCACACTGTAAAATATTTACTACCAGATTTGCCTTATGGAATGTTAATGTAATATTTAATAAAATATTTGTAAAAATGCTTGTTACTTCCTTTAGTACTTCCTCTTTCTAACCCTTCCGTCCTTTATGAAAAGAGACAAAATATAGAGCAATAAAACTAGCTAACTTCAAAATAATCTTCATTAATAAAGATTAAAAAGCATTTCAGCCTCATTCCCAGGATTAATAATCACACTGGGAAAAGTTCTAACCTTTTCGTTATTTTGAGTACTCCAACAAAAAAATATAACCAGAACTGTTTTTAACATCATGAAAAATACTGAAAAAAATTTCTAAGGTCCTACGGAGTTCTGTTTCTACCACAGATACAGCAATATACCCATTCTTTTTTACTAAGTCATGGAAACAAACTTCCATAAAATTTTCTTATATTTAATGAAAATGTGCCACAGAAATGTCATTCTCAGACTATGAGAAATAGAGCTTTGTTTTTTATTGTGATAGCACCAACCTATATTACACAGGATGAAAAATTACTATATGCTGACCAAATCTTTTTAAACCAAAGTACAGTCAAACCTTGGTTCTTAAAAATCTTCCATCTTAAACAATTTGCTCCTCAACACAACAACCCTTTCATGCTGATACCTGTATGATCAGTCACGAGTCTCTCAGGCGACAAAGGAGAGAATGGGTAAGTATGAGTCAGTTTACTGCTAAAACTCACACTGTTAACACCTCAGGAAATTGTGCTGCAAATATTGTTGTGGTTTTTTACTTTTGTTGCTGCTCACTAAGTTTTCATTTTTTACTATACATTTTCTTTTTGTTAAATTTTCATACACATTTCATATCCATTTTGTTTTTAAAGTGTTTACAGATTAAACAGAACATTAGACATGTCCTATATATAAGGAAGGTTAAAACGGAATCATTTGGGGATCTGGAATGGATTAATTCAATTTACATTATTTCTAATGGGGGGGAAAATTCAGTTTTCTAACAGCCTTTCGGAACAAACTAAGTTTGAGAACTGAGGTTCCACTATGATAAATATGCTTTAAGGAACAAAATAAACTTACAGTATCAGCAGAAAAAATGGGGAGTTGTAGGTTATGTACAGAAAGGAGTTGCTGATAGCCACTGACATGTTACTAGGCAAACAAACGTGGCATGGCAAACTCAGAAAACTTATGTGACTTGTACTATTTCATATATTCAACTGGGGATGAAGGTAGAAATCAATTTAGCTACTCCAGTTATCAATCACAATTCTAAGTGGTAATAAAATTGAAAGGCTTAATGTAACTATGACCGGAATACTTCACATACTGATATACTGGCCCCTTGTAAGTATTTTTTTTGAAGAGTTAATTGAACCACAAAATTTTCAAAACTTTGGCTAGGAGCCTGGGTGAGACACAAAATAAAGATACTTACTAGAATCAATAAGGATGTTAAGATGCCAACAACTAAATTGATGATTCGATCCTGAAAGAGAAGAGAGTTTTTGAGCCATATGGTAGATCCATAGGGTTTCAGAAAAGTATAATGCTAGTAGGCACTGCATGATTAGAATGAAGAAACAAAGATCCTGCCCCTCCCTTTACACACACAATTGCCAGAAAGGCAAAACGTACTCAGCCACCAAAGTGGAAAAGGAAGGGTACTTTGGGAAGACAGGGATGTCAATGTAAGAAATATTCAATCCAGTAGAGAACTGTTGTTTATTTGAGCCAAATTGATGATAATGGCCGGGAAGCAAAATCTCAACAGACTGAGAAAATGCTCCAGGGAATGGCAGTTTTGCACCTTATTTTATACAGTACAATCAAAAGAGGAGACATGGGTTACATGAAATCCATTGGTGACATTAGGGAGGCGGGAGAAAGCGAAGCAGGGAAACCTCAGGGACTGGATAAAAAGTAAAATGATAGACACTTCTTTTACATAGGTGGGAACAGGATAGTTAACAGTTCACAACAAAGGGGATTTGTGGTCTCCACAAAGCAGTGCCTGTGCTTTCAGTGGTGCCTGTCCAGAAAAAGGAAATTACTTTGACATTCCAAAGCTATGTTACCGTTATCATAGATGCAAAGAGACAACAGACAGGCTTTAGTTAAGGTGAAAATTGACCTTTGTCAGGGAAGATTTTTTTAGCCTAGGACATGACTACCCACCATCAACTGCTCTTAGTTTAAAAGTTTTAATTTTAGACCATCCTTTGCGGTTATTTTAGGACTCGAGTTTGAAAGGCCACCACCCAGACCTCCCCTGAGCTTGTCAGGTTTAATACGTGACCCCTTTTCATCCAAAGGGACAATTAATGAGGTTTCTTGACTGGACAGGGCATTTTTTACACGAGTCTTTTGAAGATTAAGAGGGATTGAGTGGGGAAGGGAGACATACAAAAAAATCCATGAACACTAGGAGCAGAAGCAAAGAGACAGGAGCACTGAGTTTGGACCTATTTGTGATACAGCGTAGGTGTCCTTATCTAATGTAATTGAAAAGTAGATGCTATTGCTACAGAGATCACAGAATGCCAAGGCTGGGACGAATCTCAGACCATCTTGTTGTGATTTTCCAACTTATTAAATAGTGAAAAATGTTCAATACATAAATAAAAGTAGAATCATTTGATTGATTGAGGAGCTTCTTTGTCATTCCTGTGCCCCCGCAACAAACCACAATGGTTTGAAAAGATTGACCTAATCCAATCCTAATTTTACAGCTTAAGGAAAACTAGGCCCCGTGAGTGTGGTTAAATATTGCCTAAAGTCACACAGCAAATTAGAAGCAATTTCGAAATGGGACTCCTAAGTCAGGGTCAATGGTTAGATTTAGCTTCAGTTATGGGGACTAAAAAGTTAAAGTAATACTTTATATACATATGTTACTAATATTCATTGTATATATCATATATGTATTAGGTTGATAGAAATTATCTGCAGAGCTTACAGAATAAGGTCATAAGGGTTTCAGACCTGATTTGCAAACACTACTGTAAGGCCAATAAATACCACACAGTCTTATTTCTGAAAAGTCAGAGCTGAGTAATGAATCAGTATTTTTTTTTAATTTTTCATAGACAATTGCTTTATGATCCTTTTTACTTCATATATTTTTTTAATTGATTTCAGAGAGGAAAGGAAAGGGAGAGAGATAAAAACATCAATGATGAGACAGTAATTGATCCGCTGCGTCCTGCACGCCCCCTACTGAGGATCTGGGGATGAGCCCGCAACCCAGGCATGTGCCCTGACCAGGAATCCAACCCTGATCTCCTGGTTCATGGGGTCAATGCTCAACCACTAGAGCCACATGGGCTGCATCAGTAGTCTTACAGATTGTTTTGGTAAAGTTTTAGCAGAGAACGGCAGGCTATGGAATAAACAAAAGCTCAGAGATGGGAAGGGTACAGGAACAAGCATAGAGCAGCAACAACACTCATTTCCAAACTGCATTTTTTAAAGATAAGAATCCAAAGTTAAGAGGCAGGCAGAGCTGGGAAATTTCTGCCTGCCAAGTATTATATAGGGTGTGCCTGATCTAACCAAGGACAAGCCACTCTCTCCAGACCAAGGCTACTGCAATTAAAATGTTACAGGGGCAAAGGAAACCGAACACCAGCCACACCCTTACTAAACTAGGAGGAATCAGACCAAATCTTATCACTGCCTCAGCTAGAGGAGCCTACAGAGCACACAGTAGTCTGAAATTATGACCATTTTTAGAGAAGAAGAGACCCAGGGGCAAATCGCTGATCACTATTCCCACACAACATAAATTTTAAATGTGTGTGTGTTTAACATAAATGTGTATATAGACAATATATTACCACTGATTTTGCCCTGTGAAAAAGGTTCAACTAAACTCTTATGGTCTATTCTGGGAAGTCAATATCTGCTCCCATCTCTTTATAAGTTCCCGGAATTTTCAAAAGTTTACAAAAGTCTGCATACTTCCCAACAGCCCTCTTACCGATAAAAAGAAGCCATTGAAGATGTTCGGGTAAGAGGTAGCCAAGAAGAATCACTGCTCTCCAAACTGCAAGCTGCCAACCAGGATCAAACCAGAGGTGGGGTGGATAATAATAGTGAAGGGATAGTAACTATGCCAAAAGTTTTGGCATGTCTTCTAAAAATCCTGGGATGAAACGGTATTATGATGGTAAAATAGGCTCGGGGATATTGAAAACTTGCCCAAGTTCTCAATACCAATAAGCAATGGAGACAGGATTCAATGCCGATTCCGAAATTTATACTCAATGGAGAGCACCGTAGAATACTATTGCTGGTCTGGACCAAGATACCAAGCAGCAGGTGACACTTCAAAAAGCCTATTAGCAACGTACTACAGTGAAGTGCTAGCTTCCAGGAACGAAGACTTCCTCATAAGTGACTTTTTTTCAGACTGTTGGAATTAATCCATGTAAGCCTAACTGCTTTTAATCACTCATGAAACTTTAATGACTACTACCCTGCTTGCCTTCTAGACAGTCCACCAAATGGAACTCCAAGACATCTGCATGAATACCGGTTACTATTTTATAATGCGCTTTCTCTGGGACTCCCAAGATGGGATGAACTATTTGGGAAATGGCAAGAGGGTTTCTCACAGGGTTTTCTTTCTCCAAGCCAAGGCATGGACTTAGACCTTCTGCTATCAAAGTAACTATGAATCCAGGCCAAAGGAACAGCCGTTAACTTTGGAAGACCTCCCATTCTTTGGCTCTTCCTTCTAAATGCTTGCTAAGCAAAGTGCAATCTGTGAGCCGGCGACACTGGCCTCAGCTGAGAGCCTATGAGAAATGCCGAATACTGGGCCTCATTCCAGATCTACTGAATCAGAATCTGCATTTTAACAAGATCCTCAGGTGACTTGTATGCACATTTTAAATGTTTTTTAAATGTTTTTATTGATTTTTTTTTTTTTTTAGAGAGAAAGGAGGGAGAGGGAGAAACACCTGCTCTAAAGTTTGGATTCTAAACTAAATCATCATGAATACTGATTAAATTCAAATCATAGGTTAGAGAACCTTCCCTGACCCAGAGATTTTTTTTCAGGGCTTTAGAAGCCCCCAGCTGCCAGTCTCCAAAGATAAAAGAATAGAGAACAATTAAATAGCCAGTTAATTAGCATTTCAGGAGAGTTTTAGAACTAATAGGCTCCAAATCAGAAATAGGGTACTTGGGAGACAGGCTACCGAATTTAATCTTTAGTGTTTATGGAGTGAACTGAATTTCAGATTATTTCCACTTGTATAGTTAGTCCCTGTTAACTCAGTTATCTTAAATTCTCACAGAAACTAGCGCTGTCTCCTCCCCAGTCTTATTATTACCCATTTCCATCTACCAAAACTATTTCCCCCTTCCAAAGCCTTAAACTTTACACTGCTGCTTATTTTCACTTCCCAAGGGAGCTTGCTTGACAGGATCAAAATCAGCCTTGATCCTTACTTGCACAGAGGACGGGACAAGGAATCAGGATGTCCCTCCCAAAGACAAATACTTGACAACAGGTTGGGAGACAGTCTTAACCCATATACATGCATATATGAGCGCATGAACATAAAAATATACATGTAGAGTTTTGAGAAGGATTCTGATATATTACCTCATAAGTTATTCATTTAAACATCTCAATTATATCTCAATAAAAGAAAACATCACCTACTATATATTCCAGATGCAAATAAGTACAAGGAATAAAACCATCTCTACCTTCCAGAAGTTTACACTATCCAGAGCGCAAGAAGGCACTTAGGAGAAAGGAAGCGAGGTTCCTTGTGCTGTCAGGGAGAAAATAGAAGAGAAAGTCAAACCTGAAGGAGGAGCAGGAGTCACATCTTTATCTTCCTTTGAAATGGAGGGAAAAATGGACATACATGCAAATGGCTTGTTCCTGGGATGGGAGAAGGTAACCCTGTAAAGTAAGAACACCCTATCCCCATTTACCAGTGGGTAACCAGGTTCAATGAGATGGGTGATGGTAAAGTCTGCCATCCAATGGTAACCCTGTGAAGTAAGAACACCCTATCCCCATTTACTAATGGGTAACCAGGTTCAATGAGATGGGTGATGGTAGTTCCCCATCCAATGCTTTATGCAAAATGCAAGCCTAATGAGCAGTTCAAAGGTCTAAGAATCCTTACACCAATTCAAACAGTCCCTGAAATTAGAGTTCAGAGACCAAGGTTTTCATCTGAGTTCTGCAAACTGGCTAGCTTTGTAACTTTAAAAGGATCCCTTAACCCATTTGGGTCTGTCAAATCAAATGATAATTGGTCCCTTCCTGCTCTGACTTATGGCTCTGGATCACCACCACTTGGGTCAGAATAGAAGGCCAACTCCCCCCAGCAATCAAAAAGCAGAGGAGCCCCCAATCTTGCTTGATCAGCCATTAGCCATCATCTTGCCACAAGACAACCCCGAACTGATTTCAAATGCTCAGGTGTTTAGCAATGGCTCTGGGAGGAAATTGGCAAT